GACCGCCAGGTGGGCGAAGGCTACCTGAAGCGGCCAGAGCTCACAGCCAGGCATGGAACCTAATGCCTGCGGGAGCCGAATGTTATTTGGATGTGGGTCAACACCAATGGTACCATTTTGGGGTAGGTGCACCACCCGTTTTAGTTTATTTTAGTGGGGATTGGAACCATCGGCATGTTTTGGACCTTTCGGCGAGGCGACGGTCGCCTGCATGTCCATGGGGACGGATGGATATACGTCTGGTTGATCAGTAGGAGAGTGTTCCATTCTAGAGGGTTCCGGATCACTGGGGGGGTGTTCCCCCCACAGGTTGATTTCGTGGTGGATCTTGGTTTGCAAATTCAATTGCTCGAGCGAATAGTCGATAAGTTATGGGAAGCTTGGTCGGGGGAACGAGCTATGATCATGGTCCTTTACTAGGGGGACCTTGTATTTCCAATCTGTGATTTTGTGGGTTGTGAAGGTCTTTGCGTTGACCTTTGCTTTCTCAGATTCGCCTCAGATATTGTGGTCCCAAATGCAGCACCATCAACTTATCAACTAGCAGGATTTGGGTGGCAAGTTAGGTGTTTGGATTTGCCGTATGCGATCCTGGAGCACTTCTCGCCAGCATTGCATGCTTTGAAGATAGACTTACGTTGCTATTGGAGGAACATGCTTTGCGCGTTGTTTGTTTCAACCCACACCATGAGTTCATTGCTTAGTTGTGTTTCAGAGGGAAATTCTGGATGAAGCCTTCCATGCAGCGTGACATACTACACAGACACGCGCACACGCACACACCCCACACACACACACATATTCTATATATCACATGCATATGTATCGCACACATGCAGACGGGAACACCCGCATTCAACACACATGCACACACGTTCATGCCGACAAATATCATACCGCGAACACATTACGCACCTACAACAGACGACGAAGATTGGCCGGAACTGTTGTGTCAACTTCCTGCTGCATTTGCCCTTGCCAAAATAGTTTGACTGTTCATCCCTCCCCTTGGGAAGGTACAAGGTCGCCTGGAGTCCGGCTTATTTGGCAGGCAGTTTCAAGTTCACCCTGAGCATGGACGCCTCTACTTGAGCACTGGACTTAGCTCAGAGCATCCTGCCACGCACTGGCTGGGGTGGTGGAGGGTGCCATGATCAGATTTTCAGGGTACACGCTTGTAGGGTGACACGCATGTCTTTAAGAACATGTGCAAACGATGCTCAGTCCAGCAGTTCAATCATTTGCAACAAGCTGGCATTTCATGTCAGAGCTTGAATGATGGAATGGTATGTAGTGGATAAAGTCTCTTGAACAGTCTACAGCATGGAATGGTCCGCGTGCATTGACAAAAAAATAGCAGACTCGATATGAATATCGATGTGTTTATTCCTTCCCATATCATGGTTGTCCGAGTTAAGCTGTCTTATGATGGTCAGCCTTAATCAACCTAAAGTGATTGAATGGTAACAGTAGTAAAGACAAATCATCAGAGTGGATTGTAGTTTAAACAAGTGTGTAGTTCATATGAAAAACCTGGTAAGCCAATAAAGAGTTTACTCAGACGTATACAATGTAGTACACAATGTCAATTGAATGTGGATATTGCAGCTATTGAGTTGAACATGGTTGTCTTATTACATGCAACTGATGGCATTTTATGTTAAGCGGATCAGCCTGAATGCTGGTGAACACTTGGCTTTCTTGGGCATAGCTTCATCATGTCGTTGTTGTTGGTAATTAATCATCTTCATCATCGACAATGTACAGTATGATTAACGGTAGTAACATGTTGTATTTGTCTGACGAATTCAATCACTAATACCTACACATTGTATAAATATATATATATATATATATAATTTAAGTTCATGTCCGTCTAGGTATCAGTTTCCACTCTTCTTCTCTAAAAAACTGTTGCCCAAGATTCACCCATAGAAACAAAAGAGAGACGGGATGGACTTACAATCATCTCTCGCAAGCCTCTTCAGTGTAGAGTGGCGAGTAGAAAAGTTGGGAAGATGAGAAGTCCTAGAAAGAAGAGATGTCACCGAAAAAGTGGCTCAGCCATCCCATCACTTTCTTATTGTCCTACGGTCAACAGTAGTATTAGGCTTTGTTGCCAGGAAGGAAGATAAACATGCAAAACATGCAAAGACTTGCAGCTCTCGCCCATCTGTGGCCTGTCAGTTCTGCTATTATTCAGTGTAAGTATGCCGTGGATTATTCCTTCGCTGCGACTGTTCCTGACTTACCAGCCGTAATTTCAGATCAGTCAACAAGAGTTTGAACACGAAGCTGAGTGCAAAAGGTCGAATTGTTCATTATCAGGAAGCACATCTCTTGACTGACTTACATATTTCCTTCTTTCATGGGTAATCATCAAATCCACCTTTAGCGTGTCCTTATTGTCCATATTGCAACATATCCTAGGCTTCATTTTACGTTCGGTCCAACCCTTAGTACTGTTGAATGAAGAAGACCACTATGTTACCTGAGCGAAGGGATGGAGAGAGAGCGTGAGCGTGCAACACTGAGCGGTAGGGCGTGAGGAGATGGCTTATGCCACGACGGAAACAGTGGATGAGACAAAGGTAGCAGATGTTAGTTTTTGCTTCAACTTTCTCGGCAATCATCCACCGTTATGATCGATACCCATCCTTTCTCTCTCTTTTTCCCTCTTGCAGTTATCGTTTGTTCTCCATGAGCCGTCCCAGCGGCAAAGATCTCAGGAATTCCTCAGACTTCCTCTGTCGAGCAAAGTAAGCTAAGACTTTTGAAACCAAGCTGTAACAAGAAAAATGAGAGGTGAGGAGAGACAGTGGAATCGGCATGTGTCTGCCCCTGGTACCCACATGAGCCCACATGAAGATAGATTCCCTCGGATATTCAGTGCAGGGGACGATCACTGTGACGAACACACGGAGCTTTGCCAAACACGCCTGTGTGACTTTTTGGAGGAGCCCCCTTTTTGTTGGCACCACTAAGAAGAAGTCAAAACAAACCTGTACTACACGATTTAAATTTATGGTTGCTGTTTCTGAAACCTTTTCAAAAGCATACCATCGAGAACCTGGTGGCCAGTCCGGGCAAGTGTTACCAGTTACAATTTAGTAAGTGCCTTTTGTGACAAACAGTTTGTCACGCCATTACGACATACTGGTTCAATGTCTGGACTTGCCAAGAGGAATGACAACCAGATAAGAACATGAAGTCTAATTTGGCCTACCCGCATATTTTACACATGGTACGGCTGGGACCCTAAAAGTGACCATGTTGAGGGCTCTCCAAATTACTTGATGCTTGTTCAACCGCTGCGAGGGTGATTTTGAGGATGGCACTTCAATGTACCCAGCACATACTTTGCTAGGGTTCACCGATGTCACAATGTACTCTGCACATAGTTTCCTGGGGTTCACCGCAAAGCGCCGCCCCGCTTGGCATGTCAGCTTCAGTAGACGCAATTCCCACGGCATCCCACGGCTGAGCATCGGACAAAGGACCGGGATCGATTCCCCATTCTTTCCATCGTGCTGTTCAAAAACCAGCTGCTTCCTCCCGGGGCTTTGCTGGGTTTCTGGAAAGAAGGATCTTTGGAAAGAATTGGTTACCCTTCGAATTGAGCCTTTGCGGAGGTTTTTCAAGACTGGTTCACTCGGCTGCATACGTGTTCAATGATTGGTTTTTGCAGTTTGCACACACACACACACACGCGGACCGGGATGTCTTGTTCATTGAGTGCTTCTTGCCTAGACAAAACTTTTGCCAGGCTCTCGCCGATTGTGACAATGACTATCTGGTCACCTAACAGTAATGACACTGCGAATATGAGCAGCCAATCGGTTGATCTGGAGTTGTCAGCATGTGGTGAGTCGGGATGGACATGAATTCCCCACCCAAAGTTTCTTCAAAGCCGAAGCCGTGTACTTAGTCGTCCCTTGCCCTTGGAGAAACGCAGTTCAACACGACATGTCATTTAGCACGAGAAGGGCATGTGTTAGATTTGCTGCGTTCTCTTGTTCATTTTGGGGCGTATCACCGTGTGTTTATCCTTTCTTGGCTGATCCTGCGGGCCAGCCAAGGGCCATTCTTCAGTGTAGTTACCGTAGTACCAACAGCCTGTTTCGTTTGGCTGTCAAGCTCCAGGCCCGGATGAAGGCCCTTTCAGTGGCGATCCTTCAGTTGGGATCACGAAATACCCAACATTCATCAATCCACGGGTCGTTTGAAGGTGCATTAGAAGCCGGTGCCCGGTCTCAAGGGGATTTACAGGAAGGTGTCGGCTTTGGGTGGCGATCAGCAATCAGGCGTTCCTCGCGAAATCTCTGCAATCAACAGGACAGGTATATGAATCCATAATGTTCTTGTTATGAGCATAGATATGAGCTTACTGGCAATCTATTCTCGGTTTGGGGAGGACATGGGGAGCATTGGGGGCCCACCCTTGTTCCCCAAAACGAGGGGCCCACCCAAAAAAACATTCCTTTTTCGGGGGAAATGAACACTTTTCTCCGCTCACTCGAACGATCTTTTCGCGAACCTTCGACCTTCAAAACGCCTTTTCCTGACTGTTGTGTTGGACTGGTCCCGGAAAACAAATGGTCTTGAAGAACCATTTGGAAGGTGAGGGCCAGGGCTCCAATACCAGGAGCAAAGGGCACCCTTGTCACCCGCCGACAAAGGAGACCAGACCGGGGACAAATGCGTTTGTGTGTGTGTGTGTCTTTGTTGTCAGGCTTCCATTTTGGGGGCGGTTTCAAGGGAAATCAGGAGGATCCCGGAATTTAGAGTCGCCTATTCTGCCACATACCCCAAATACGCCCCCATTGAAACGTGTGCCTTCTCGGTGCCGCGGCCCAGAAAATGGCCTACGGGCATCCCAGGGCTCGAGTCGGTCTCCGAATCAGTATTGGAATGTGTTACAGGGTCCATCTTTTGACTCAGCTGGACTTAGTGCCCGTTGATTTTCCAAGGGAAATCCCTGAGTCAGGACCTGCCAAGCCATGGAGAACTTGATGCAAAGGTTCCCAGAGAAGAAGCGACTTGGGCGCACTTCGATTTTTGCCTTATTTCGGTCAACATGTGGTTGGGTGAAATTCCACATGTTCAACTTGTGGTATCTCCAAGCCAAAAGATAGGCAAACAAGTTGAACTTCGATTTCCAAGGGTGTTGGCCCAGTTGCTGCTTGGCTGGTTCCACTAAAACTTAACCAATGTTGACTTGTGTTTGTATGACAGACATCGGCAGGGTCTGCTGTTGGCTGTTTCCAGACTATGGATTTACTCCTCGCGTCGTCGATTTGTTCGGAGCTGGGAACCGGCCAGGCGGCCAGTCGATTGACACTTAGTGGCTTGAAAGCGGCATTTCAAGATCCCATTTGAGGTGTTGTGGAAAACCCTTGCGATTTTCCGTGGAGTCTGCAAACGGGTTCTGCATGCATGTTGCTTGGCGAGTTAAGGGGGAGTCTCCCCGCCCATGGTTGTCAGGGGCCCACCAAAGAGGGACCAGTCCAAAAGAGGCACCCAAAAGGAGCCCTATTAGTTTTGCCCCTATTGGGATTAGGTGCGCGGCCCTTGACAATCACAGGATCTTGGCGAGAAGGAAGGTAAACCCCTACCAGCGATGTGCTGGTTGTGCAGAATAAGCCATTCAGATTCTGTGCAGCTCAGCTATTCTTTTCGAACTCAGAAGAGCATGGTTCACGTGCAAACCGACGAAATGTCTAGGTTTGCTTTGTAAGCTGCCATGATGTGGGTGACCTTTACAGGATTCTATCAGTTTCAGAGCTAGATCCTGCGGAAAGAACGCAGAGGTGTTCACTATTTGGAAGTTGTTTGCCGCATTCCAATTGATGTGTTTTGGAGGTTGCTTCATACATGACTTTTGGGGTTTGCGATGCCAGGTACCAAAGTTATTTGCATGGTGACTCCCGTTTTTTCCCCCTTTTTTTTCTGCCTTGTTATGTTTCAGTTATATTGGCCAACTCAGGATGCTGGAAACTGTCCGTCCGCTAGGGAATCCCCAAGCAGTGTTTCAGGCCACCTTGTTGACTCTTGACGTGGTTGTGCACCTTTTTTGGTAAACTCACTCAGCGGTGAGAACCGAGCCTGCCCATTGTGAATCGGAGGTTCTGTTTGTGGGGAATCCTTGGGATTCGCAGGAGTTATTGTCATTTTTTCTTGAGGGGGATCATAATAGCTCTTTTTGTTGACTTCAGTTTTCTGTTGGCCCGCCTTTCAGGAGAGTCTGAAAAGGTTGTCAATTTTGAGAAGCACTTTGCGGGGATCAGGTTGCTCTTTCCAGACTGCCTGATTGAACGTCATGTTTGTGTGGGATCAAACAACGTAGGTTTCCAAGTATGCCAACCACGTCCCAAACGTTTTGGATATGTGGCTTTTTCTTGACCCGCCAAGACTGGGAGTTTCTCAAGATAGGGGTCCCCTAAGTTTGATGGGTTCCCTTTAAGTTTCCGTGAATCCCACTTTTCATGGCCTATCTTGAGAAACACCCAACTTGTTTTCTGGGGAGTCCGCGGCATCGAAGCTGGTCAACCCCAAAAGGGTGCTTTTTTTTTTACGAGCTACCGGGCAACTTGGTTGAGGGTCCGGCCCAAGAAAGCCTTTCGGAGCAGCAAGCTGGTTCTGAGGACACTTCTTGGATAGGAGTTGCTTGAGTGATTGCAGAAAGCGACCATGTGGGCTATGAGGTATGCTTAGTCTTCCAGTGTTTTCAGGCAGGTGTGTGGGATACCAGTCATTGTTTATTTCGGTTTTAAGGTTTGGTTTATTTTGTTTCCTCGGGTATAGATGCGATCATAACAGCGAGCACCGGAGCATGTCTCAACGTGGCTGCGAGCTTTTGGTTTCAGATCCGGTCTTGCGCTCCAAGGTATGATGCCACTAACTACATTGAAAGCGCCTTGCCCGCAATACGCCCATTTTGTTTTAGGTTTGCCTTGTTTGAGTTGTTTCTCGATGGCAAGGGAGAGAAACTTTTTGGGGATCCCTGAATGCATTTTGGAGACTCAATGTGGTACAAGCTGATATGTGGAATTGGGTCGATGCAGAGCCTGGTGTTTTGTTGCCGGTTTGTTTATATTTTGTTCGTGCCAGTCGACACACCGGCAACACGTGATGGCATCATTTTTTCCCGGAAGCATTGCGAAGGGTTCTTCTTCTAAAAGCGGCTGCCAACTTCACCTGCCAACTTCTCATGCCAACTTGTCGAGAGTTACTTCACCTGCCTACTTCTCATGTCAACTTTTTGAGAGTTACTTCACCTGCCAACTTCTCATGTCAACTTTTCGGCTGTTATCTCATTCTACTAAAAGCACAAGCTAATTTGTCGGGTGTTACTTCACTATCCTAAAAACACAAGCTAACTTTTCTGTTCTACCTTCACATCTCGACTCTTAATTCTTCTTCTTTTTATGGCGGGGGTAGGCCCGACGGGAGCTTACGAAACGCACCCCTCTGCGGAGATCGTGCGTGTCGAAGCGCTCTCGCTGTGGCGCCGTGCGAATTTGTCTTGAGCCGGCGAACCCTCTGCGGAGATCGTGCGTGTCGAAGCGCTCTCGCTGTGGCGCCGTGCGAATTTGTCTTGAGCCTTGGCGAACCCTCTGCGGAGATCGTGCGTGTCGAAGCGCTCTCGCTGTGGCGCCGTGCGAATTTGTCTTGAGCCTTGGCGAACCCTCTGCGGAGATCGTGCGTGTCGAAGCGCTCTCGCTGTGGCGCCGTGCGAATTTGTCTTGAGCCGGCGAACCCTCTGCGGAGATCGTGCGTGTCGAAGCGCTCTCGCTGTGGCGCCGTGCGAATTTGTCTTGACCTTGGCGAACCCTCTGCGGAGATCGTGCGTGTCGAAGCGCTCTCGCTGTGGCGCCGTGCGAATTTGTCTTGACCTTGGCGAACCCTCTGCGGAGATCCTGCGTGTCGAAGCGCTCTCGCTGTGGCGCCGTGCGAATTTGTCTTGAGCCCGATGAACCCTCTGCGGGGATCGTGCGTGTCGGATCGCTCTCGCTGTGGCGCCGTGCGCATCTGTCTTGAGCCCGATGAACCCTCTGCGGAGATCGTGCGTGTCGAAGCGCTCTCGCTGTGGCGCCGTGCGATTTTCTTGCTCGCGAAACGGCTTTTGGAAGTTGTCTCGTGGTGTGCGCGCCTGCTTTCGCAATCCCGCGGTCCCGGGTTCGATTCCCCCCTGGTCCGCGGCAGCTCCGGCTTGAAAATCGCAGCTTTTAAGTACAAACGTAGTACGCGGAGCGTGCTCCTGCAGCTCCGGCTGGAAAATCGCAACTTTTAAGTACAGACGTAGTACGCGGAGGCTGCTGCAGCTCCGGCTGGAAAATCGCACTTTTTAAGTACAGACGTAGTACGCGGAGCGTGCTCCCGCAGCTCCGGCTGGAAAATCGCAACTTTTAGATACAAATGGCTGGAAAATCGCAACTGTAAATTGCAAATGTAGCACGCGGAGCGCCTCCGCCGCTCCAGCTTTTTGAGGGTTAATTACTTCACCTGCCAGTTTCTCATGCCGAAACTTCGAGAATTACTTCACCTGCCAGCTTCTCATGCCACCTTTTCGAGAGTTACTTCACCTGCCAACTTCTCGTGCCAACTTTTCGAGGAGTTACTTCACCTGCGAGCTTATCATGCCAACTTTTCGAGAGTTACTACACCTGCGAGCTTCTCATGCCAACTTTTCGAGAATTACTTTACCTGCCAACTTCTCATGCCAACTTTTCGAGAAATACTTTACCTGCCAACCTCTCGTGGCAACTTCACCTGCCAACTTTTCGAGAATTACTTCACCTGCCAACTTCTCATGCCAACTTTTCGAGAAATACTTTATCTGCCAACCTCTCGTGGCAACTTTTCGAAAAATTACTTCACCTGCCAGCTTCTCATGCCAACTTTTCGAGAGGTACTTCACCTGCCAACATCGCCTGCCAACTTTTCGAGAGTTACTTCGCCTGCCAACTTCTCGCGCCAACTTTTCGAGAATTACTTCGCCTGCCAACTTCTCATGCTAACTTTTCGAAAGTTACTTCACCTGCCGGCTTCTCACGCCAACTTTTCGAGAGTTACTTCACGCGCCATCTTCTCGTGCCAACTTTTCGAGAATTACTTCACCTGCCAGCTTCTCACGCCAACTTTTCGAGAGTTACTTCACCTGCCAACTTCTCATGCCAACTCTTTGAGAGTTATTTCACCTGCCAACTTCTCATGCCAACTTTTCTCTTGAGTTACTTCGCCTGCCAACTTCTCATGTCAACTTTGCGAGAATTACTTCACCCGCCAACTTTGCCAGCCAACTATTCGAGAGTTACTTAACCTGCCAGCTTCTCATGCCAACTTTTTGAGAATTGCTTCGCCTGCCAACTCCTCATGCTAACTTGGCGAGAGTTACCTCACCTGCATCAACTTGCCTCTATGCTTCCGGGCCACTCGTCGTCTAGTGTGAATACTTGTCCCTTTCCGCATGTAGGACACTCGCAATGTATCAGCGGCGCGTTGCGTGACTTTGGCCCTTGTCTCCTGCGGGCAGAGACCCACCTGCCTCAGATTTTGTCTGCGAACGCAGCAGACTCTGCTTGCATGTTGGTTTTGGGCTTGGAGCTGTTGGTTTGACCCAGGAATGTGACTCTGTGAGGCAACCCTAGCTCAAATGGGCGCCTTTTTGTTGGCGCTGCTGTTTCCGGTCATGTGTCCCCCCGCAAACAACTGCTTGCTTTTGGCCTGTATTTTGTGAACCTTGGGAAGCAGTAAGTTTGTTTGGGACTTGCTGAGGCAATTGATCCCTTTGTTGTAGTGTTGTTGTACCCCGCATATTTGGCAAAGGGACCAGCAAAATAATGTTTCAAGGCAGCGAAGTGGGCGGCCCACGGGTCTTGGCAAAGCATGAAACCAAAACGTCCGACCACCAAACATCAGCAGAGAGCACCTACCTGCAGGAAGTCAACTTAAGGGTGGAGGCATTCCAGGTATGGATTCTCAGGGCCTTTGCGCTGTTTCGCCTCCCCTTTGGCAAGGTACCGGCATGCAATGCCCCGTGCTCTTGCAGCATCCTGCAACACTGCAAGCCCTCCAATCCTGCGGCCTTTTGTCTCATCATGTCGGAAGACGAGTTGTCTGACCCCCTGCCTGCGTCAGTGAAGTGAAGAAAAGTGGGCCCTCGTACGAGCTGCACAGAAAAGTGAGGCCTGATGCATGTGAAGAAAGCGAGTTGCCAGCCAAGCCCCATGCGCCTCCGACCTCACTCAATCCCTGCCATGTGTGTCACTAATCCTGAAAAGCGCAAGCGAGCCTTTGCAACAACACAGTTTTGGCAGCAGTGTGTCCAACTGGCAAAGACGCGTCGAAGTGTATTGAGGCAAAATCGCTTCCACCATGGGGCCCCTTTCATCGCGGAAGGCCGAAGTTAAAGTTGGCGGTATAAAGTTTAAAACTATAGACACCCACACCTCCAAGGTCTTTACCAAACAGGTGTTTCAACATGTTTCAACCAGTTCCGGGTTCGCGAGGCTGCCTAGAAAGTTTCGAGTTCGCAAGGCTGCTGCCTTTGCCTTTGGTGCCCCTGCATGGGCTGGCAGTCGAAGACGCTGCACCTGGAGTGGCTCGACCCTTTCTGCGACGCACGTCGCACGGGTGATTTTGTTTTGGTCAAACCGCTCGCAGAGCGATAATGTTGACCCCGGGTGAATAAACCCTTGTTTGTGAATAGGGGGTGTTCCCCTCCAAAAATGATATATCCTAAGATCAAGGCCAGGGACACCCCCATTAATATACACGGTTTTATTAATCTGGAGTCAACATCAGGAGCAATTTGTGTTGCAGAGACCTTCGGGCTTTGCACTTCCTGGGTCCAAAGCAGCCAGTCTTTCAGCTGGAACGGTGGAACCAATATAAGCATGCTCGTTTACCAGCGGGTGTTCTCAGGGGCTGTAATTCCGTAGAGCGGGCATGGGCCCGATGTCTTGATTTGCTGAACCTTTTGGCTTGGATGCTTTCAATCGCAAGACTGACAACGCTTCGAGTTTCTGACAAAAGAATCTCCCAACTATTTTGTTGGTGAGAGTTGCTTCCAGCCCCCTCCGGCCTGTAGTTTTTAAAGGCTCCAATGAAACACGGAAACCACCTGACGCGCTGGCCTTTGAGAAGGGCAGCTTCCAACGTAGCAAGTAGCGCTCTTTCAAGGCAATCCAGAATTTGTGGAACCCCTGGTTGATTGATAACTAGTTGAGCGTTCCATTCAAGAGAATCCCTCACTTCCCCTATTCCCCCCCATCAATTCCATTCATCCGGGGTAGACGGAACCTCTTTCTTTTCGCACTGTTCTGTTCGTACCGGCCCCCTTTCAGAGCCGGTTTCTCTTTTTTGGGGGGAGGGGGAAGGGGCGCTTGGTCGCAAGGCAGGAGGAGGTGGTGGCCAAGACGAGGCTGGCGCGGGGCCGGGGAAGTGAAAAGAGGTGCCTAGGGCCTAGGGTCGAAGTTTATGTCTCCCAGTAGTGCCCTTCTCTGGGAGGGTTCCCCTACTAAAATAGACTACAGAAGAAAGGGCACCCTTATTCTAACCTCTCTACTGGAGGACCTAGAAGTAGTACGAGGTTTTCTGGCACTTAAAGCCAATGCGGTTTGTCATGGTCATAAGAGAACGTATGTATATATTTATATGGTCCCGTGTTCCGTGTTGCTACCCCCCCCCCCCATATGGTATGGGTCCCCCAGGACCCCCCCCCTCCCGGCCCGAGACCCCGAGCCCCCGGATCCTGTCACCTCCACCCCCACCCCGACCCCCTCAACTCGCACCCCGACACCCCGGCACCCCCACCCCAAGGACAAGCCAACCCGGAACCAACCATAAACCAACCCTAAACTAACCCTAAACGAACCGTAAATACCCTCTAAACCAAACCCTAAACCGTAGACCTCTAAACCTAAACCAACATGGAGTAGACCTTAAAAAGTATTTCAGACCCCCGGGTACCCCTGTGTCGGAAATACATTTTCGAGAGTGTGTTTTCAGCTAAATGGCATTCTCAAAGCTACTTTCTGCGACACCAAAGGCATGTATGGGAACCCCTCTAATGTCCTCTAATGGTGATAAAGTGTTGTCATGGGAGTGACCCACGTTGGTGAAAAACGTAACTGCTCATATTTGTTGTTCATGTTAACACCCTGACTTTTGCCCGCGTCTCGCAGCTGTTTCTGGCTCGGCTGTCATCGGCTGCCCCTGCATGTCGCCGGTGAGCTTGGCCGGGTGCTTATTATTGCCTATTGCCGGGATCTGCCGGGATTTGCTTTTTAGCAGATGTTAGCATATATTAGACATTAGTAGACCCTATTTGCATAATATGCTTATACATGCTTATACTGGCTTCATCTGGCTTCAATTGGCTTCATCTCATTGCGTTGGATGTATTGAAATTCTGACACTTTCTGGCATCTTCGATCCTTCTAAAGTCAGTTGCGCAAAAGATGCCATCATTAGGAGCTAGGGGTAATATGGAACGGAGTGCAGATTTATGGGGCATTAGTAGGAATTTGCAAGAATTTGCATTAGGATTGTCACTTTACATGGATACAGTCACTTGCTGCTTGCGTTTTAGGTCGAGCTGGCTCAAGTCTTTTCCATTCTTTTCCCATCTGTTGTCCGCCTTCGCCGGTTTTCGCCATGCCAAGCTGGTGCAGCCTTTGTAACCTCAGCAAGCAGGGCGAGATGTGGTACTGCCCGGAGGCAAAGGATCACCGGTTTCATGAGTCTTGTCGCCAGTATATCGTGGGCGCCTTGGACTGGTTTGGCACAGTGTGGCAGGGGTTCCTGTCTTCAATTGTTTTCACTTGTCTCGCTTCTGCGATCTGGTGCCATTCAGACACTTTCAAACACCCTAGGACGTGATCATTTGTGCCCTGAGGCGAGTACTACAAGTACTGGGTCGACCATGTGGACCGCAAATGGGTCGAATTTAAGAATGAGACAGATTGGTGACCAAGCTCAAGAGAAGCAGCGTTGGATCTAGGCTTTGTAAGTTTCTTCATGTTTGTTCCATTAGTTCCATTTGCGTGTGTGATTGTGTGTGCGTTTGGCGCCTGAGCGATGCTGAGTGATGGCGCGTATTCGTCTTTGTTATTCTTTGGTCGCCTGTATTCGCCTGTCATGTCTTACCTGGTATTAGCAAGCAGGTGGTAAGATTTGGCACATTTGGGATCATTTGGGCACTGGCCTCGCAAGGTAGTCGTGGTGGCCAGCGGGGCCAAGGAAGGCTACAATGTGGAGGCTGGGTGACGCCAAGAATCACGACAAATGCAAACGTGACCCGATGCGACCCGACACAACCCGCATCAACCCGCTATTTGCCTAACTTTCCAAATGGTGACATGATTGAAATTGATTGAACAAAACTGAATGACTTTGACTGACGAGTGGTCGGACACCCGGACGGACAAGCCTTCAATTTGTCACGGCCCGCGCCAGTCAGCGCATTTCAGGCGCAGATGCACCCACAGAACTTGCCGCATGCCTTCGCCGGTGGCCGTCACTCGAAGAGCGCCGCTTTTCACGACATGAGCCTTGGATAGCCTTGGCCGGAAGTTTGTCTTTGGGCTGGCGGGATCTGGCGGGCGTCTGGCCCTTTTTTGGGCACACCACACCATACCAATATAATGTGATGTAATGCAATATAGTTTGCTAAGTGTCGTTATGTTACAGCATGTTACAACATTTTGCAAATGCATATATGTATATATATATATGTGTGATCGTACATGATCGTAGTGTCTGTGTGACGCGGCGTAACGCGGCGCATGAGGGTATATTAATGATTACTAAATGTTATATTAACATATATGATGGTATATGTGCAATTATGTGCGTATGACAATGTATGATTGCGATGATGCGTGCATGCCAGGACATGAAAGGTATTGAAAGGTACCCACCCAGGACATCCCAGGACCTTTTACTGTCAGTTTCGGTTTTTGGTGATGTGTAAAGAGGAACTTTTGTTTTCTTCTCATGGTACATTTGTGAAGTGGCCAGGCAGAGATGCGGCGCATTGCGGCGCCGGCTGAGTCAGCCCAGGTTTCACATGGCTTCGCATATTCTAACATGTTCTCACCCTAGGTTATCGACGATTATCGCAGGTTAGCCATGGTTAGCCATTGATCTGGGGTCAGGGGTTATCAAAGTCAAATGGGGGTGTTTCCCTTTACCCTACCACTTAGCGAGTTGATGGGGCTTGAATATGGCTTGACTGAGCATGACTGAGCGGCGGGCAAAAAGCATGCCGCAGCCTTGTGAGATGTGGTTTTCCTGCTTGTTTTGGTTGTTTACACTTTACGAAATGTATTTTAGGGGGGGGGGTGAAACTCTCGCATGGCCTGCTCCATAAACCAACCCTAAATCAACATAAGCCAACCGTAAACCAACCCTAAACTAACCCCAAATGCACCCTAAACCAATCCCTAAACAATAAACCCTAAACCTAAGCCAACCCTAAACCAACCCTAAACCAACCCTAAACCAACCCGAAACCAACCCTAAACTAACCCCAAACCAACCCTAAATACACCCTAAACCAAACCCTAAACCGTAAGCCTAAACCAACCCTAAACCAACCCTAAACCACCCTAAACCAACATAAACCAACCCTAAACCAACCCTAAACTAACCCTAAATACACCCTAAATATACCCTAAACCAATTCTAAACCAACCCTAAACCACCACAACCCAACCACAGGACCACAACCACAGGGGGGGGGGGGGGTAAATCAACATAAGCCAACCGTAAACTAACCCTAAACCAACCCTAAACTAACCCCAAATGCACCCTAAACCAATCCCGAAACAATAAACCCTAAACCTAAGCCAACCCTAAACCAACCCTAAACCAACCCCAAACTAACCCTAAACCAACCCTAAATACACCTTAAACCAAACCCTAAACCGTAAACCTAAACCAACCCTAAACCAACCCTAAACCACCCTAAATCAACATAAACCAACCCGAAACCAACCCTAAACTAGCCCTAAATACACCCTAAATATACCCTAAACCATCCTAAACCAATTCTAAAGCAACCCTAAACCACCACAACCCAACCACAGGACCACAACCACAGGGGGGGGGGGGTGGCAACGCTGTACCATATATATATATATAGATATATGTGTCTTACTTTCCTAAGAATATGTTTTATTATCTTCTGTTGGTTTACTGGGGGGACCGGGGGAGGGACTGGATATGTATTACTTTCCAGGAAGCTTGAGCAAAGGAAGGTAGTTTGTCAGCCGTTTATGCGCGCATCTCATCAATTCCTCATGGTCTATTGCTAGTTCACCTTAATTCCTGAACAACAAGGATCGCCCCCCCCAAAAAAAAACACCAACAACACAGAAAGAAAAAGAAAGAACAACAAAACAGGTAGGGGAATTACATATATACACGTTATATACCCGTTTGAGAGTGGTTCACGTGGGTGTTGCCAAGAAAATTGGACGATCTACCAAATGTTACGGATAGTTTGTCAAGGGCGACCAGCAACCAGCCTCACCCGCGTTGCGCAAGCTGTTTGGCCGCTCCGTGAGGTTCCGTTTCGTTTTCGCAACAGCCAGGAGAGCGCACGAGCAACAGTCCGATTTCTTAGTAGGAAGTCAACCTATAGGGATGAGGCCGTAATTTGGCCCTAGGATGACCCCAAATATGAAAGAAGGCATGGAAAGGGATCATTCCCTCATTTCTAGCTCAGAAATAGCATTCATCAAGAATGTGCCAAGGGTGGCCTGGCGCGAATCAGGGTCTTACCTCCCGGCAATAAGCATGGGCATGCGCAGGTGCCGTTCCACAACAAAGGTAGAGCGTAAAAAGGAGTTTGTGCACTTGCATATTTGCTGGTGGGGGCTACCTGATAAATTTAGCCTGTTTCATTCAATCGTGGCCGTTCAGGAAAGAGATCACCAGCCAGTAAGAATAGCTCATAGTCATCGATTGAGTGTTTCCTTTTGGTGAACGTACACCCCTTTTTGCTCCCTTGGAATATGTCAAGGCAGTTCCTTGGAAGGGTTATATTCTCAATGTTACCCCGGAGATGGTTTTGGGTCAGTGGACTCCATATTGGAAACAAGAATGGTCACGTTGGTTCCTGCATGACCGAATCGTGGGCAACCAGCTACCATCATCACAAGAGGGCGGGGTGTAACATTAGTCAAAAAACATGCAGTGACCTTCAAATCGGCGCAACGGCTTCCCAGTAAACCAACCTTAAGAGGGGTACCGAGCCTCGCAAGCTTCAACTTGCTGGTTCCCTTCAACTCGGTGGTTCTCAGATTGGCGAAAGCGGGTTCCCCTAGAAGCTTATAGCCCGTACTGTATGGTGTGGTGAACAATTGCTTCTAATTGGTGAATCAAGTCAGCAGTCAGTTGATTGGTCACTTAACCCTGTGCGGGCAACCAGCCCAAAGAGATCCATGCCCATGGATGGGTGCAACCAGTGCAAACCGTTAATTATCTCATGTGCTGTGATTCAAAACCACAAGCTTTTCCGGGGCTCTCTGGAAATTGCTGCACAGATACAGGTGGCGGCTCTGCTTCGTGACATGAGTGTGGCTCAAAATTAATCAGCTGGGGTTACGCTGGTTTCAGTCTTTGGTCCCACTTACCAAGGTGCCATTGTTGGCCACAGCCACATAGTATAGCCACTTAGTATTTTTGGGTACAGCCACTTCCACTTGTGCGTTTTTTGGTGTTTTTTTCCGCCACGGCCACATAGTCCGTTGCTTGCCAGGAACTGCTGCTGCACCAGCAACCAGCGCCGGCCCTACGCTCAACTGGGCTCCGTGGAGCTGCACGACACCTGCTGCGGGCTCTGCGCAACTCGGACGGGACGAAACCGTGGCCGGGAGAAATGGGGCGCGTTGCAAAGACGGTTGCACAGGTAGGGAGTCAAATCAACATCTACAGATATGGTTGTGGGAAATGGTGGCAAGGCCACGCGTTGGGATCCATGATGTATCCGCAGGCCGTTTTGGGATGTGTCCTTTTTCGGAAAGAAGCTCCCGCAATTCTTGGGTACCTTGTACTTTTGCAAATCTATTCTCACTGGCCAAGCAACACGCAAGCAGCCTTCGTCCCTTCTTGAGAAGATAAGCTTTATGTAAGATATGCCGGGGCCGCAGAGGTCGCTGCGAATGGATTGTCGTGTGAATACCCACATGGCTCTACCTGGCGTGCTGTAAGGTGGCTTGTTCAAACCCAATCTTCTACTGTTTGCACATCGCACATCAAGGGAAAGTTTCTGGTTCCCTCCTTTCAATCATGGAAGTGGACGATCGAAGGGTGTACGACGATCATCTCAAAACGGTCCTCGGTCTATTTTTTGTTTGTCCATGTTGGTCCATTTGTTCAAGGTCCCAAAAACGGCAGCCTATGGCCATGCATGTACCCATATTTCGCCATTTGCAACATGCACTAGTAAACATCTAGTAGCCTTTTCTTTCTTGGTCCTTGGCACACGTGAGTACTCCCCGGCAAACCAAGCATGGCTTGCCCCAAAAAGGGCCGTCATTCCTGTCAGAACTGATGACGGGTTTTGGGGGCCTCCCACAAATCTGCAGGACTGTAAGGTTGTCAAAGAGAGCCCAACGAGGCCGCCGTTCCCCACTCCCAAATCTCAAATCAGGGTCTATTTTGACGCTTGGCGGCTGAAAGTATGGGCCCTTTCTGGGGGGGTTGAAATGGGGACCAGGAATATAAAGGAGTAGCCTTCTTGTCGGGCTCGGCTTCAAAGTTTCGTGGGATCCCTATACTATGCTTTTCGTGTTTGTTTTGTGGATAGTTGCTACATCCATGGGTTGTTCGGAGTATTGTTCAATAACCAGCTGGCCTCCTTCAAAGGCAAAGTCAGAAGGACAATTTAGACACAGAGTGGTTTGCACATGGGAAGCCAAAAGGAGTTTGTTTCAAGCTAGTAGAGTTGAACATGTTGATTCAAACAATTATATCGCCCAAGCCTCCCACAATTTCTACCCAGATTCCCCTCACACACCAGGTGGCCATGAGCTCAGACCTGAACCCTGTGAATGAGAAAGGCCGCTGACAGAGCTGCACCGAACTTCCATCAATTCGCTAAAACTCCCCATCCATCTTTAGTCATTTGGTTTTTCTCACCAAACGGTTCATCTAGAATGTGATTCGGCCCCAAACGTTAACTCAAGCGTTTTCCCGGGCCCTTTGGGCAGGCTGCTTTTTCACTCTGAGCAATAGACTACCATTGACGCTATGTGACGGAATCTCTCAAGCACGGCGGTATCCTCAGGGATTGTACGCTTGTGTGCGTTGCTGAGTTGTTATGGTTTCTCCGTGGTTGGTATGTTGCTTGTCTTGCTAGTTGTGCAGACACTCTTTTCAACAGTCATGGAAGTGGACAAGGAGTATGCAACCTATTCTCGTGTCAGCCTGGCAATCAATCAGAGCTACTTCCCCAAAAGTTAGCCAACGTGTGTACAATGTATAATATATATATACACATATGCATACACATCACATGTATATACCGTCAACATGTGGTTTGTTTTGCCAACCATACTTACCAATTGTTCGACAAGTCCCTAATTTTGAGAAGATCCCAACTTGCGGTCTACGGAATCTTAATCGCAAGGGGCTTCACGTGGGGGCCTTGTTCGAAGATGTAAATGACTTGCAGCTCGGTTCATTTGGGAAAGGGGGATGGCTTGCGTCACACAGCAGCCTTCAGATCCCGCACAGTCCCGTGCACCAACATGCAATATCTCGTTGTCTCTCCCTCTCTCTCTCTCTGTTCTGTGTGGGATGGTTTGGTTAGTTGGACGCTTCATTGAAGAGTTTGACGTGAAAGCCTTCCTGCTACATAATATATCTATATATATATATGATACTTCAGTTGTTTCTGGAGGCTGCTACATTGGCGCAGATATCACTGTATGATTTTCCTCATGTGCTAGCCTGTGTTATCAGATTGGATACAACACAAAGACGACTGGCTAACCATCTCCTTATAAGCGAATCTGCGAATCTTGTGTGTTTGCAAGTAACAAAGTGTCCATGTTTGAGTGTTGTTACCGCTTGGATGGTGGCCGCTGCTCCTTTGAAGCATGCTTGGAGGACAAACCCTGCAAGTGAATGGGCCTTTTGGTGTTGAACTAGAAGGGAAGTCACACAGAAATTCCAATTTAGCGGTTCATGTTTGAAGTTTGAAGCGAGAGCGAGACAAGTGAGCAGCCTCCTGATCCCTCGACAGCCTCGGAGTCCAAGTTCCTAGACGTCCCTTTCCCCTGGGGTGGTTTAAAGCGTCACCTTTTGGGTGGACTGGTGAGCTTCCTCTTGGCAGGGTGCTTTGAGGGGAAGGAACCTGGAGTACCTTCTACGGCGGTAATCTGAGATACTGCGGCCCCTTCTCCTGCAAACCATCCTAAATGGCCCTCTGAGCTTTATTTCTGTCCTCGTTCAGGCGAGGGGGGCATCCGACCCTTCTTCGGCACTGACCGGACCTACACCGAGGCCAGTGGACGGTCGGTGGCGTTCCGCGCATTTTCCGGGTCAGGCACAGCAAGATGAATAGAAACTGGGATGTCTTTGAAGTTGTGCTACATCTTAAGGTTCTCGGCAATAAGTATGCACCAGGATCAAACAATATGTTTTGGGGGTTGGGCGGCGAAAGCTACGGTAGACATATTGATCCTGCTTGCCGACTTCTTGACTTGCCCTTCAGACCCACGTTTGTTTTTGTGTTTGTGGTGAATGGAGCTTTGACATTTGTGAACCTAACAGTATCTAACAGTCCAGTTTCTTCCGCATGCGAGGAGCTTTGCAATGAGCTCCGCGCGCGGATGGAGGGCCGTGGCGATACTGCTCAGCGCAAGCAGCGACACGGCGTCAAATTGTGGCCCTCTTGCTCCACCCTGACCGTGTGGCCTCGGTTTTACCTTTTGAGGTCCAACAAATAAGCTTGGGGTTGGACCAACAGGGTCCTTTTTCCTGTGTATGGTTGGTTCCCTGAACGCAGCCTTTGAAAAGGCGCCCCTTTCTTCATACATTTGCACCAGCACGGGCCTTAACCACGCCAAAAAACTCAACCCTGCGACTAAAACGTTGGTTACCACGACAATTTCTTATTTTCACCCCACGACAAAAAGCACCGACACCCCGACAGCGATGCTTGCAGCCCAAAACAAGCCCAAAAATTGCTCTTTGCTTTCGGGAGGCCCCAGGCTGAGCGTAGTCTTCTTTCCTCTTCCCGTAGTCTTCTTTCCTCTTCCCGTAGTCTTCTTTCCTCTTCCCCTAGTCTTCTTTCCTCTTCCCCTAGTCTTCTTTCCTCTTCCCCTAGTCTTCTTTCCTCTTCCCGTAGTCTTCCTTTTCCCCTGTTTTGCCTACAAGTCAAGCCCTTGCGATAGCTTTTGAGCACAGGAAAAAGCAGGCTCTCCCCGTTGTCTCACAAGCCTGTTCAAATAGTTGGGTGGCAGCGGGAAGTTTGTTTGGTGCAAAGCGATCAGACTTTCTTTGGGCAAGCTCGCAAAGCGAGCCCCAACCAACATGCTTTCACACCGTAGAGTCTTGAACACCCGGGTGTGATCTCAGGATTTGTGTAGAATCATGTCCCAGTCGAACCCCCGCAACTGCCGCGTAAACTATACAAATATATTTGGGTGTAAGCAGAGTTGCTCCGAGCCTTTGAAAGATGATGACACCAGGCAGAAAATGGGTTGGGTGTCCAGGATTCATGTTCATACGGAAATGTCAACACCAAATTAAGTCATGCTCATGAGGTCCAATAACGCGTGCAACATATGAGAATCTTACCTTACCTTTGTGCGACAAATCTGGCAGAGGGTGCTCAGCGTGGGCTCCCATCCTTTGCGCAAAGGGAGCTTACCCGTTTTTCCATTTTGGGGTGGCAAGCTGGCCCATTTGGTTCCGACCCCTAAAGGCGGCGCAAAACACGGGTGCCAAGACTTGCCCCCTACGCTTGCATAAATCTGCGTAACACTTTTCCTTCGCCTAGTGTTGAACTGGGCGCAAACCCTCAGACCGAGGCAAACCTTCCTGATGGTGGCCCGGCTGACACGGGCGGGGCCGGGTTTTCGAAGCTTTCAGACCTCGGATCGATCGGGCCATTTCTACGTAAAAAGTGGGGTAAATCGGATCGGTCGTGCACGTGAATGCACAAAGTATATGTATAATTCGCGCATCTCTATTATACAGAGTGTTATTGGTACGATTGCTGGAATTGCCGCTCCATAGTTGCTGCTCTATCATGATGAACTTGCTTACACTGAGTTTGGAATGGAATGCAGGGCTTGTTACATGTGCTCCAAAAGCTGCTGCCTTGCATGCTTACAAATGGCCAGCTCCCAAGTACGACACCTTGTTGCACCAATCATCGAACTCTTCCAGGTTGGCAGATATCGCATGATCAGTCATTTCAGTCTCTCCAAACGCCTTTCTTGACCCTCGAGTTTCCTGATGTGTGTTTGGGTGTCCTAGGGCAGCGAGCAGCTGCAGAAAATCCGATCAATACCGCCCAGATGGGGCGGTCCGAAGTGTTGGTCAAGCTTGGATCATACGGCCTACCGGCAAACCCAAGAGCTGGTTAAGTATGGGCTAGGGGGTCGCAAGCGAAATTCATGATGAAGGTTCCTTGCATGGGGCGAATCAGTTTTACCCTCCTACCCAGAAACATGTAATCCACTGAATGGTTACATTTTAGAGGGACATGGGTCAAACCAGGAGTCCCCAGTTAGGTTCCATGCTGGTGGAGGGTATGACCCAGACTTGTTTGTGGAGATTTGCAGTTGGGGGGTTGAACCCGTGTTTGTGGAAACGTGGGAAGATCGCCGCATCACCAAAGCATTGATGTTTGAGGAGTGTTTGTTGGTTCAGGTGAATTTCCTTTCTAGATATACCACAAATATACAGCTATATAAAATACGCATATACACAATGTGTATGTTCTGCGTATGTATTTATATGTATATATATATGCATGTCAGCCAGATTTGGTGCAAAACCTGAGGAGTGGGTCACGAAGATGACCGCCCAAATGCCCCTGATCCTAGCCAAGAAGGGCGTCCAGTGGCCGCCCAGCGAAGCGCTTCTCGGGCAAATTGAATGCCTTCTTCAGCGAAGCGCTTATCACACCAAAGCCATCCTTGCAACTGTACCCCCTTCAGATCCTGCATCAATCCGGAACCGACACACCAAACAACCCCAACCGGATCCAAGCCAACCAACAGCCCCATCTTTAACCAACGTTAACAACCTCCACTGATTCAACCTAGACCAACCTATACAAACCCTAAACCATCTCCGACCAACCCAACACGAAACCAGGTGTCGAAGGGGTTGGATCGGGCCGGAGCCACCACCAGCATTTGGAACCTTGGCTTAGCCAGATGGGTCTGCTTTTTCAGCATACGCGTTGTTTAAGGAAAAACCAACGGGAATGCCCCCAGACCTAGACACACCCAGGTGGTCCGCAATTCGCGGCACACTGGTTTCAGCTTGTTTTGCGAGGCTCCTGCGCTTGGATTTCTTTGGCTGCATATGGATATGTCGCATTGCACTAGTACTAGTTTGTTTTAGCCAAACTCCACGGCGCTCAGGATAAGCTCTGAATCAGGCCTCAAGGTGCTGGCCCGTCACTTCCAGGGGTGCGTTTCAATGTAGAGCCCCTCCCCCAAGAAATCAAAACAAGCGCACTCTGCAATCAACCCCCGCAAAGGTACCCTCAATAGAAGTCTTCCATACCAGCATGGCAGGCAGTAGAATACCCAGGGAGGGAGGCAAGCCTGCTGAGCTGAGCGGCCCTATGACTTCGCGCCTTTCACTTTGGCCTATTATGTAGTGGGCCCCGATGTTTCCTCAATATGATTGTGTTCAGCGCGCTCTGCGTGCGACAAGGACGCTCTCAAAGCTTTTTACGGACAAGCCGCCTATCAAGGCGCCCGGGGGGGTTGAGCGGGTGGATCTGAGCAAAGGGTAAAGCTGTGTGCAGGATGGAACTGAAATGATAGACAAAGGTTTTGTTTATGGTATGATCTGCCTTCTAAGTTCTGGTTCTGATATGGCTGATCATTGGCCCAGTTTGGTCCGTGTCACTTAGTTTGGCTGCGTGCTAGTCTTGCCGAAGAATTCGTTGCTGCCAATGTTGACATAGATAATCCTTTTGTAGAGTCTGCTTGACTTTATAAATGCGGACTTCATAGATGGTGGTTATTGTGGTGCTTTTAACCTCTAGTATAAGCGACTAAGTTATTGTCACATGGTGTAGAAACACCCCACAGCCCGATTCAGGCCTTGTAGTAGGTTTTGCGTGGTGGTCGTTACTGATTGCTAATGGCTAGAACGACCTTTCCAGTCACACTCGGCTGAGGGTTCACTGCCATGGCCGTATTTCAGCCACCAGACCATGGCCCCCTTTACGGCGTATCTTCCCAGTTGGTTCACAAGGAACCAGATCAAACCCTCAAGCCACCTATATATTTAATATATAATCAAGGTTCGCCTACATTGAAACTGGGTTCTTCAAAGTTACTCTGCAAGTCCTTATGCCAGCTGCTGTTGTGAGGTGTTCTCCTTAGTTGCGGAGGAGTAGGTCCCGCCCATATTTTGAACAACTCAGTTGGAGGACCATTCCATCATGGTCTGTTTGTGTTTTTCTGGGTGGGGGTGGGGGACGGGGGTGGGAGTGGGTCAGAAGTCATAATTTCCTATTCTGGCCATTTGAGGGGGGAAAGCACAACTGAAGCACCCGCAAACCCAGACAGACAAATTGGTTTTTCCTTTCCAAGCAGATCTCCGAGGCCAACCGCCTTGAGAAGCGATGCCATGGCTTTGAATATCCTTGCGTTACATGGCTGTGGGTCAAACCAATGGTACCATTTTGGGGTAGGTGCACCACCCATTTTAGTCTATTTTAGTAGGGATTCGGATGTTCACTGGGGGTATGGGGTTTCGACCCAGGTCCACATAGACGGAATTGTTTTTCAAAGGGCACTCTTTTTGGCTTCTGTAGCAATTTGCAGGCGGAGAATCTACCACAGCCAGAGGGTTGAACATGTCTCGAACACGGAGTTGGCAAATAGGGGATTTGGGAGCCCTATTAAACAAGCGCTGAAAACCAGTACCTCCGCTCTTTCCCCTTTTCGCCATGGAAAACAAACACATTTCGCATATTGATTTTGGCCCCAAGAAGGCACACGTCTAGCCAGAACATTGCCAGACTTGACGTTGCCCCTTTTGCACTTTTGCCCTTTCGGCTTTCCCTTGAGCCAGCAGAACAAAATCGGAGGTCAGATCCGTTTGGCCCAAAGACATAAGTGTCTTGCTTTGCGAGCTCTCTGGGGATAAAGCGACCTCTCCATGTACACTCGTGAATCCACATTCACCCTCCCAACGGGTCATGTGTGTATATATGTATGTATACAGATGTGCGTATATGTGTATATGCATATATATATATATGTATATATATATATATAATATGTGTGGAATCTCCTTTTCAGGGGACAACCAACACACGCCGTTTTTTTTCGGTGGAATGCCAGACCTTCGCAGAGCTTTATGCCCCGGAGATCGACCCCACGTTTGACACCCAGGACGAGTCAGCCGCTTCCGGTTCCGTTTTCGCTTGGTTTGATGGGTGGAATGAGAAGGACACAGCGGGTCGCCTGGTGCCAGTATTGGAATAGAAGATATTGGAATCATATTTTCGCCTGCTGCACTAGGGTGCCGTTTCAAGAGCCGAAACCGGCTTGAAAAGACCGATCGTTTTGCCGAGAGGGTGTGAGGAAAGAATGGGGAATCAACCATTAGAAATATCAATTCCATCTATCCTATGGTTTCCTTTGAGGGACTCCCTAGGGACACTGGGTCATTTTTTTGCTCAGTACCGGCAAGATGATGGAATCACACCAAGAAGAAAACACATCCCAGATTTGGTTTCCTTTAAGGGGATCCCCGAAACCGGTTCATTCCCAATATGGGTCATTTTTGTCTGAGCACCAGCTTGAACCCCTGGCTTTGACTGCTTGTGAGTTGCGGGGATATTGTGAGCCCGGCACACACTGCCAAAATAGTTTTGCCGCGTACTATTTGGACCTTCTCAAAAACAAGCTCAGAGAATCTAGTAGACATTCCTAAGAAGGATTTCAACAAAATAGACATGTCTTGGACAGGGATTGTCAGACATTCCCGAACGAGGATTTTGGCAACCATACCATGGCCATGAGCAAAGTTTTGACCATGGCATACATGCTTTCTAGGTCATATGACTGCTGGCGTTTGGCACACCCGGCAGCGGCCACGTTTAGGTCTTGTAGTTGGCCACGTCAATATTCAAGGGTGCAGGTTGTCAGAGTTTACCAGTTGTGCAAGCAGAGTTTATCCAGCTACCAACGCTAAATACCAGGCTTTTGCTCCTGGGGCAAGAATGGGACATGTGCCGTGGGGCTCCATGGTTGTTGGGTAATTTCGCGTTACAAATCAGAACGAGCTCACCGAGTCGGGGATAAGCTGAGGCCATCCCTGATGAAGGTCCCGTGTGTGTTTTGTTCTCATTTCCCCGCATGAATCCAGAAGGTGTTGGGTTGGGCCACCTGTTGTTACAGCCACGTGCCATTGACTTCTGTGAGAGTTTGTCCGTAGCTTTCCTGGAATGTGCATATTGGGCATGGTCACCCAAACCTTCGCGGTGGGGCTAACATATCTTGGATTTCAGTCGTGCTCAGCTTGTTGGGAGTTTGGCTATGTCTCAAAATAAGGTATGGACCCGCCAACGGGTACTCTCAAGAAACGACACACTAATATCTTCGTGTCCATTGTCTAGGATACTCTTGTCAATTTAGATAAGGGACACCGCAACCATTTTGGGCGGTGTTCTATTTGCAGACAACCCCAAATTGTGTGTGTGCGTTGGTTTTGTGGGGTTTGGTTCCCTTGGGAATCCAAAGGGAAAAACGAGCTCCAGTTTTCTGGGTTTTCCTTTGGTTTTCCACTTGCCACGCCAGTCTTGGGACGTGGTTTGCTGCTGCGAACTTCTGAACTGCCTCAGCCGAACCATCGAGCTGGGCCCGGACGAGGTGGTGATCCGCACCGTGCGCGGGCCCCCAGAAAGCGGCCCGGGGGTCCCTTCTTTGGGGTCCCCGGGGCCGAAATTCTGATGGTTGGTTGGGGGGTACTGTATAGCAATGTGTCGAGAGGGGTCAACTAAGTTTGCTAGTATGCGTGTGTGAAGATTAATGGGGTTAACTAAGTTCACTTGAAGCATGGTTTGTCAATGTCGATGGTTAACTAAGTTTCTTTCAATGTTAGTTTGTCAAGATTACTGGGGATAACTAAATTGACTGGCAGATGTGTGTTTGTAAATATTAATGGGGTTAACTAAATTTACTTAAGTTTTTGTTTGTAAAAATAAATGGCGTTAACTAAGTTCACTACTAGTAGTTGTTTGTAAATATAAATATAATTATCTCAGTCAACAGTTCCGATGTTTTGTCACGGTTAATGGACCTCCCACATCGCATTCTTGCCGATGTGGCACGTGCGATTCGCACCTTTTGCACTGGCAGGCCGATTCGAACGGCCAATGATTTGGCCAGGCCTTTTCGTTAGACCTGACAAGGAGGTCTCCGCTCGCTGTGGCACAACGCCACCTGACAGATTGGACGTGCCGCACTGCCGCCCGGCAGTGCGCACGCTGCGACGCGTGAGTGTGTCACGGTTAATGGGATTATCTAAGTTAACCATTACTATTTGTGTGTGTGAATAGGCCCAACTGACTTAACAATTAGTTGTTGTTTTCCCCTCATGTTAATTGGGCACTCTTGTTTGGAGTACGAAACATTACGCTCCCTTTCACAAACATGACACCTGACAGGGGGTCCCTTCGGATTCAGCCTCAACTAGACTGCTTGTGAGACTAAGCTCTGAAGAAGGTGCGGTTTTCCGCGAGGCAGCTAGTCTCACTTGGACCTGTCACTTTGGGCTTTTTCTTGTCACTCTTTAATTTGCGCAAAAGTCTACACTTGCGATGGTGTTTGGGGGAAGTGAGATGCGCATCACCCTGAATAGGAAACGGACTCGCTTTGTTGAAGGACGAATGCCATATGCTTAGCGGCTAAGTCATGGAACCGAACCTTTTATTCTAGGCCCGTTGAACAACTTCAGGCGTCCAGCATCCGTGAAGCTTGTGAAGTTTGAGCTGGTGTTGGAGGTTTTGAAGCAGCTATCGAGAAGGATCCTAGCACTGAAACTACAATATCGTTTGACATGTTGTTCACATGCCAAGATTCACTCAGTTGGCTGGCTGGCTGGCTGGTTGGTCGGTCGGTCGGTCGGTTGGTCGGTTTGCTGGTTTGCTGGTTTGGTCGAGCTCTCAACACCACGTTTGTCGCTCGGTTTCATCATTTTCTGTAAAGGTCCCAGAGTCGTCCTTGGTACATACTCCCCTGCAAGTTGACCTGGAACCCCAAACCTGCACCAAGTGAAGGCATAAACCACCTACCAACTGGCATTTTGTCCAACCACGGTGGTGGTATTTATTAAATTTGGCATGACCGATGGGTGTTTCTCAACATGGTGGACCCCCCTCCCTTTTGTCCAGTTTCAAGGGGAATCCTACCACCATTTCAGGGGTCCCCAATCTTGAGAACTACCCACGGGGTTGATCTATATTCCTCCAGTTTTGACCATGGACAACTTTTCCCATGTGATGAAAGTCGAATCTTTTGCGGGACAACTTGCCCGGTCCCACAGTTTGAGGGGTCCGCAATTTTGAGGGGTCCCACAGTTTGAGGGGTCCGCAATTTTGAGGGGTCCCCAATTCGAGGGGATACCCGTGGCCCGTACATGAAAAAAATGGGGAGTATCTCAGAGCTGAGCCTTTCCCCAAAAGGCGCGGCCTGGATCGCGCCACCATCATTGAGCGCCGACCCTACGCGCAGATCGACGACGTGGCTTGCGGCGCAAATAGTTGGCCGAGTGGGTTTGGGTTGGTCCAACTCCAAATCCTATGTCTCAGACTGGTGATAAACCCTTTCTGGCAGTGCGGGCCAGGACTTGAATTTGTTTTGCCCGTCTGGAGGGCCCCCACACTCAGGTTTGCCCCCAACCAAACTCATATGTGTGATTCTGGTCCATTGAACCTTAAACATGTAAAATATCATTTCAACATAGATCCCAGTTGAGGGGGGAGGCATGATTGGTTTGGTGATAAGTGTGCCCTTTTCCCCGTGTGATTGACCACGGTTGCCGGGTTCCCGAATTCGTTGGGATATTCCTTGCCCACGTGCGTTCCCAGAGCCAAGGTCCTCTTTGTGGATCTCTGTGCTCTTTTGCCCCAAGCTGTCCTTCAGATCTCGGTACCTTTTGCCCCCCATCTCTCAAAGTCTGAAACGTCGGCTGGCGGGTCTGGAAGGACTAAAACCATACCATCCCCTTTGGGATTTCTTTTTAGTCTTGGTTCTATTACTCACCCAACTTGACCACCTCCCGCAAGACGATTGGTCCATCGGTGCTGACCAGGGCCCATGTCTCAGGGGAAGACCAACATATTTTGCTTCCCTCTACTCAACTCCTTCCGTCAAGCCACTTCCTACCAAGGGCTGGCTGCTTGTGCTCTGATTTTCATTAACCCGAACAGGCCTCAATCAAGTTCCAGACGTTTCGGAGGTGGGTTGTCAAAATTAGGGGTCCTTTTTGGTACGCACCCTCTCCAGGCAGCACCTTGGGCGACGCCAAAACGGGTCCAAACAGGAAACATATTTTTGACGACCTATGTGCTTTTTGCAATGGTCTTCGATTGTGACTCGGTGCCTGCGCGCGGAATCGGAGCGCGCTCGGGCACTCGGAATTCTGAGGTGCAGAAGGAGAACGCCTGCGGCTGTTGCGTGAACATGAAAGCTGGGGAGCTCATCAAGGAGCCGATCAGTGCCTTGGCTCAATGGGAACAGACAGGGATCCAGCGTACCTCTAGCGGGTTTTGTGGAAGACGCGTTTCCTCTTTAATGGATTGACGACTATATATGCCCTCAATGTGTTTCATGGAAGACATGTGGCCATAATACGGCTCTGACTGGTGTTTGATGTCCCGAGTTCAGTCACTTTATTCACTTTTATTATGCTGCCTTGGCTAGTCCTTGCCATTTGATCATTCTTGAGTCACTGCTGTGCTTACTTCTGAGATTTGTTTGGTAAACTGGCGATGTCTCATAGGTCAGATACAATGTGTTTGAATGGTTCTACAGTTGTACCCTACTTGACTTGGACTTGCACGGGGGCCAACTCACAATGGAACTGACTATTTTCTGCCGAAGGCTGGTTGAATCCTATGAGCTTGTGGCATATTTTGTTCCTGTGTCAGGTCCCATAATTCATCCATAGACAATATGGTTCGGACACCCACGAACCAGGTTCATATCAGAGGTTTATACGTGCACATGTATCTCTCAATATGGTACCATATATATGTATGCATCCAATTGCCTAGGGTGCCACTGACACAATGCCAGGCATCACAGTTTCCCCTTGAAATATCACAACACAAGTAAATGTAAGTATGGGCTCGTGCATTCCGCCTTTGATTCTGGGCCGAGCCCCCGAGTTGCTTGTTTCTGTGCGCTAGTGGGCCTGTTACTACCTGTGCATTATGGGGCCAGCCGACCCCCCAGACCTCAGTGGTTTACGTTCTTCGTCGTTTAGCCACCACGAAACACACCCATTGTATGAAAAGTTAATGGATTGAGCCGAAACATAGGCAGAAAGCCAAAGGCCCCCCCCTACCCGTCCGGGGAAGGTTCTTAGAATCTTAGCCGGGGGTTCTCGGAAGGGTTCGGAGAACCTTTCTGGTGATGCGACCTGCGACTTCGCAACCCCATGAAATGGTATTGAAGTGGTTTCATTATCCTTTGCCACGCCCCAGAGTTACAAATTGGACGAGGAGAGGGACGTGGAGAGCAAAGGAAAGAGAAAGGGAAGTATGAAAAGCTCTTAAAACAAATAATAGTGTCATATTTATTATGACCTTATTTTTGCTGGAATTGTCTCTGAGAATCGTGGGTGTGTTGGAAGGAATGGATTTCTAGTTATCCAGTCTATCTTACTTTAGCCTCTTGACCGTACCCATGACTCGTCTTTCACCTTTCTATCTCATATCGCTTGTGGTAAGGAAACCTTTGAGAAGCGCTCACAACTTGTAGCCGATTCCATTCTCTGGGATGCTCCAAAGAGGAATGCAGGGGCAATTGGTCGCTGACAAAGGAAACCATTGACCAATTTCTTGCCCTTGTGGTTTGGTCATCGAAAAGGCTCAAAGCATCACATCGCGTAAAGCAGTGCCCCAAATTCCAGACTTTGGAAACGTGCCTCAAGGGTCCCAGACCTTCAAGCCATATTTATTTGACATCAGGAACCTAAATGATGAATGCTTGGCTGAGCCCCTTGCCATCCAGCACAGGTTTTTGAATGTATGGTAACTCGCTGGTAACTCGCTTCCGCGAATCCGGCGGTTCAGGCAATGGTGCAGGGTGCGATGACGCCACCATCACAGCGATGCTCGGACGGGAAGTCGCATCCAAGATACATAGGGGGTACCCGTTTTTGGGGCTATGCTTTTTTTGGAGGGGGGGATATCCATTTTTTGCACAGAGACCCACCGATACTGTTGTGGAGAGTTGGGTTTTGGGCTTCCATTGTGACAACCAACTTATTGTATGGATGCGAAGCCAAGGACAACTCGTGGGGCTGAGGGCACAGAAGGCTCTTCCGAAAAATCCAACAGATACTTTCCTACAGTTTTGCATGGGGCCCAAACACCCACCATTTGTAGATCCATGTTGATTTGTAGGGAAGTAGAACATGCAAACAAGTGGCCATGTCGATTGAAGTAAGGTACTTCTGATGAACAGTCATAGCATGATGGCAGTGTTTGCAATCTTCCCAGCTCTTTAGTGGGTTTCCATGCAACTGGCAGACCCAAGGGTCCCATGTTTGACTCCCCACTGGCCGGGTCATTTCTGGTGGGGTGGTCGGGTCCGGAACCTGAAAGTTTGACAGTCCTTTCAAAAGGTAAGCCGGACCATTCCGGGTGTTTGGCTTCGCTCTCTTTCCTGGCATTCGGGCCTTTCGGGTTTTGAAGGGATGCCAAAACAGTCCCTTTCCTGTATTTGCTCAGGACGGTTTATGTTCGGGATGCTGATGAGCATGCTGGCTAACATAACCCTAGGCTTCCTTGGTGCTCCACAATGTCTTGTAGGGATATCTTCACCTTTCAGCCGGGACTGGCGCGTACGGTCTTTCCGCAGCTGACTTCGAGGCATCGGACCCCCAGTTTGGTGGTGGACTTTACCTGAGGTTCCCTTTCTGGCAGCCAGTGGGCTACTGTTCTGCCTATGACTGGCGATTCCTCTGATCCGGGGTACAACGAGCGAAAAACCCAGGATGATGGTGCTTTACCCAGGCGTCCCTGAATACAGAATTGCAGGTTTCGGAATAGTTGTAATTGGAGCCTCCTATCATGTCTATCAAGCCTACAAAGACAGCAGTGCTTGCATGTGCTTGCCTGTGCTTGCCTGTGCTTGCCTGTGCTTGCCTGTGCTTGCCTGTGCTTGCCTGTGCTTGCCTGTGCTTGCCTGTGCTTGCCAGTGCTTGCCTGTGCTTGCACTGCGCAAGTGCAAAGACACTTGGACATGTGTCTTGGACATGTTTAATTCAAACGCATTGTTATGTTGAGGGCCATGTTTTGGTTTGCTGCTGTTTGGTTTCGAGGGAGTGTTAGTTTTTTCTGTTTGCCGTTGGTTGGCTCGATGTTTCGTTTTGGCGGCTTTCCACATTGCACCCAACCCAACCCCCCGCCCCCAATTTTTGGGTGTCTGGTCAGAAGTGTTCAAGTGACATCCACGTAAGTGACCTGACAACAATCAGGCAATCAGATGATGATCAGTGGGAGGGGTCTACTTTAGAGACGGCCCCATTGCCTGTGCAGACCCCGGCAGCACTCGGCAGCTTGCGTGCTCCAGAACTCATTGTCACGTCAGCTGGAATCTGATAACGGGGTGTTGTCAAAGACAGTTGGTCTCTTTTAGAACCCTACTGTAGTATTTATGTAGGGGGGTGCCAAAAAGGGCTTCCAACTGCTGACCCAGATGAAAAAACAGTCAGGATAGGGGTTTCTGATTGTCACGTACCATGTGGACCAAGAAACAGCAGCATTGGAACAGGCTTGACATCGCTTCGAGGACCTTTCATTAGCCTCTTCTAGATGCTTGAAGGATCCTGAACTCCCCGAGAGACTTGAGTCCTCAGTTTTTTTTTGAGAGCCCAAAGGCCCTCAGCTGCGCTAAAGCCAGCTCACCCCGGATGCCGGTCCAAATTGCTTAGATCAAGGTGGGTGACTGATAGTGACAGATGTGTGCTCCAACTCCCCGAGCGCCCAGGGTTGTCAACGAGCTCAAGAGACGCAGCTTGTTCTCGCAAATGACATCTCTGCCGGCGAACTACCCAAAAAAAGGGAGACCTCAAAAGGCACACACAAAATGGTGAGCCACGTGCTGCTTGGTGCTTCCTGTCATTGGTCGAATGAACTTGATGCGGTTGCTAGATGCATGCCTGTAGCATTCGCTTCTTGGGTCGGCAATCTGTCGGCAACCTTTCAACTTTTTCCACAGTACATCCACTAGAGAATGGGCCAATCGCTTGAAGGCGGGTTACTTAATTTAGGTGCACTCCGAAAAGTCTGAACATAGTTGGCTTTCTCGAAAAGTCCCCCTTCAGCCCGTTTTCCGTATACAGTAATTTGGTGCTCGGTCGATGTTCGGCATCAGCTTCTGCAGCGTTGCCAATCATCCAAACAACTTCGTGGCACAAACCGCTTCATTCAGAGGACCCCAACGCTCTCTCCCAACAGATTCCACCTTGCAATACTGGTACGTCGCACGGGTAACATCCTACTGAATTTAATCGTCCATTCTAGAACCCACCCAAGAACTCCTCCTAGAAACCATTGAGCCCACCTGCTTAGCCTCAATTTCATGTTCCTGATTTATTCTGAGGCCCAGAGCTTGGCTGAAATCACCACCCAGATGTCAGAACTTCTTTGAAGTTGTGTATCCACATGTTGCAGATTCGTACAGTGGATGCACAAAAGCCACTTGTGACGCATGAAACGGGACCTGCCACCCAGCCACCCACCATTTGTAGTATTGGGGCAAGTTGGGAGTTTCTCAGAATGGTATGCCTCCTTGTAGGTTGGTATTTGAAGGGAAGCCAAAAGGACAGCCAATTCAGGGGGAGCTGCGAAAGACATGATCCTTGCACGAAGGTATCGAAGTCCGGGGCAACATCGGGCAGATGAAGAAGCTGGAGTCAATCATGAAGAAGGCCAATAAATATCACGAACCAGCTTGTGGGGCCGGGAAAACCCCAGGGCGAGAAGAGCATGAGTGTTCAGTTACTGCGCAGAAGCAACTTACAAAGCAGGGTTGTTTGTTGTTTTTTGGGCTCAATCCGTGACCTTGCCAAACGCTGCGGTATGTCCCAGGCAAACTTGCAAAACAGCAATCGTCTTCCGGGCGGAACTGCCGTTTTTTTTTGTTTTTTTCCATGTAGCCTATTGTGCTATGGGATGTGGTGAAAGGGTCATGGGAGTTTCTGGAGAGGTTGCGGCTTCGAAGATCAGAACATCACTCAATCCCAGTTGCCCAGTGCCCTTTTTCCTTTTTCTTGGGGAAGGGTTCCCCTGGAAGCTCAACCAAAGAAATAGGACGATTCTTTGTTTCCAATGTCCACTGGGCAGAGCACTTCAATATGTCCATTTTCAGAATAAGTTTTACTGACATTTTACCTTTGCGAAACTGAAGAGTCGTTCGGAGGACTTCTGAGCGCAGGAGCTATCCGATGGGGAGAGCTTGTGACTGGTAGCTGTGGGCCGAGCAGACAACTTGCTCTTTGGACGGAGAGAAAAAGTGCACTTTCAGTCTGGCTTCTGAGAGTCCTGGCACATTATTGTGGTGCGGGCTAGATGAAGTTGGGGGCACCATAAAACGATTTCAAGACATGACCATGGCAAAGCACACCCCTTAGTATTAAAATTGTGTGATTCAGTTTTTTGTTCATGCTTTCTGGACAAAGGCGACGAGACAAGTGGCAAACACGTAAAGTGGCACCGTGTCTACCATGAAACTTCTCACTGTGACTCATCGGCTTGGGCCAACTCTTTCAAAGGAGGCACCTCAATGAACCAGGCAGGCGAGCGTCACACAATTAGCGTTTCGGCTTGTTAGAAGAGAGGTGCACAAGGTTGTCACGTAGATTTTGCTAGATGTGGGTGTGTTTTAAAATAAGGGAACCCTGAAGCCAGTACTGCCGTGTTGGTTTTCTCTTTCAACCCGAAATCCCAGAGAAGAACAATGCACCCATTCGGGTACGCAAAGCAGAGCATGGTGCGAGGGTCTTTGGCAGGTGGATGACCTCCGAGTCCTCATGGTGGTTCTGCAGGACGCTCTGGGGATGGAGACGTGGCTTGGAGCAAATCCTTGAACCAGGTGGCCATGGATCGTTTTGTTCTTTTTTTTAATTGGACACAAGCCACCAGTTGGAGTTGTTGAAACCCTGGATACGCTACCAACTTGTCGTTCTGCTTTTGGTTAATATTTGAAGGGAAACCAACAGAACACCAGCCAGTTTGGGGTCCCATTTTGGAGAAACGCCCACAAGCTTTTCAGCTTAAGGTGCACAAGGTATGGAACACGATCCACCACTATTTTGTGAGTATCAGTCAAAAGTTCACCGCTTGCGGGTTGGGGGTCCTGCAGAGCTATCCGGAGCTGTGTCCCTCATGGGATGCACTGCAGGTACAAGGATATTTTGAACCTTTGGTATGAACTCCATAAGCGTTGGTTGTGGCTTAATATAGGATACCGCCTGCAAAGGGGTTCGAAGTTGATCCCAATGGTTCATATGTGGGTTTAGACAATCTTCTTTTGACCACCCTTCTTTCACTGGCCGCTAAATAGGGGGCTGGAAAAGAGAAAGCAATCTGTCCACCCTCTTTTGGTTTCTTTCTGGGACACCTGTGGGTAACTTAGCACACTTGCAATCTGGGATCCTTGCTCACTCGCTATGGACGTGCACAATCATTGAATGCATTACCCACCAGTGATTGACAGGGATGAGTCACTTAATGACCATAGCTGGTCGATCCTGGCAGGTGAGCATTGCTTGGAGGATGGCCCCTAAAATGGAACAGGTATCCTTTCGGTTGCATTTCACACGCACACACCTAAAGACCCTCCCTGAAAAAGACGGTTCCGTCCAGCTGTTTCCCTCAGGCAGTATCCGCCCGGAGCCACTGCCCTCGCGGAGCTCTACGGTAAGACGCCGGAGCTGCCCGCCATTAGGCCCCAAGTTGGCAAGTGGAGTCGGCTGGTTGGAAGCCCCGGGGGCCCTTTACAGGATACATTTGGTCCAGAGAACATTCACCCAACTACAAGGTGATCGAGAGGATTCCAACTTGTAAAGCAGGCGCATGTTGGAGATATCCTTTGCGGAAAACAGGGCTAGTTGGGCAACCTCCCAACATGTCAGCAGGTTTGCACTAATTACACTGGAGTTCAGGGTCAAGTGCTGAAGGACGATCCAACTGCCAGGATCACCCAACTGCCAAACGAACTACATTTGGGAGTTGTTAGTTGAGTTGGCAGGTAACATTTGTTCTCAAGACTCATTTAGGCGATTCTTAAAACAAGGGACCTCTAAAGAATGTTGTTTGCCTCTGTTTTTGGCAGACCACCCCTTTTGGAGAATCCTCTTTTTGAAAATCCCCGTTTGGCCTTCATATTTGGCCTCTTGATGCCTCTTCTCCTGCCTTTTTGCGTTTTCGCGAAAGCGGCATGCAGGCCGCATGCGAAGCCATCAGAGGAGTTCCCGGTGAGGGAGTTTGAGGTCACAAACTCGTGCGAGTGGCTTGGAGGTCAATCAACTCGCTCAGGGCTAATCATTGGGGCCGCTATCCACTGAATGGTTCTGAGAACCCTTCTAAGAAATTGTTCTGAGGAGGTTTTAGGGTCCTTTCTTGGTTGTGAGGGATCATTTGGTTGTTGACTGTGTCTTAGCGGGGGCTCAATTTGCCAAATTTGGGGTTTCCATGGTGGGTTTGTTTGTGTCTGGTGAATGGAAAGTTAGTCGCCACATGAAAAGATCGGAAGGGGTGGGAACCCTTTGCGGGTGATTTATGTTGTAAGTGGCCGAGGTTTGAAAGGAGTTGACAGAAGAGGGACAGAGAGCGAGACATCTCTCGATGGGAAGAAGTAACCCCGGGTTAACGCAATATATCAACGGTCAGTGTGTGCCATTCCAGAAAGTCCCGAAGCCAGTTGGGCGCCGTATCGAATGACCGAAGGGCAGCTCATAGGCAACCTACCATGTGTGGATTCCTTTCATTTCTAATTAAACCCCTGCTGTTGCAAAGAGACAGGGGCCCCCTTCCCAAACGTTGAAGAGGTTGGGCGCTTCCAGTCTGATTCATGTTTGTAGAGACTGGGTGTTTGTCTAGTGTCTGACCAAGGAAAGCCCCTTCAAAGTGCGCTAGTCACAGGGATGGCAGTCCACTTTGTCACAAGGGCTATCTTCCACCGATTCCGAGCCGAGGTCCTTGTTCTGCTGCTGCACCCAGAAGGACAACATGACCTTGGAGCCGGACAAGATGGTTCTCAAGAAGACCAACTGCATGGGCGAATCCGTGAACAGTGCCTCGCATTGCCAGACTTGAATGAACAAGAACCCAATGCCCATCATTTTTTAGAGGAAGCTCCTTTCAGGGCATCCCCTTCTTGGGTTCCATTGCCCTGAAAGGCCTCGAAGGCCTGGGGTTCCTCTTTTTTTTTCTCGATCAGTATTGCCAAGCTCGGAGCTGGATTTTGTAGGACACGAGATGAAGGGTCAAAAGCCGTACTGTGAATGGACAAGTCCCTGCCAAATTCCGCACGACCCAATCTGCCGATATTTGAGGAAACAAGTAATTTGGTCGGAGCTCAGATAGGTGCTGCACCGCAAGATCAGCGAGTGATAGACCTCCTCTCTGGTCCGAAGGAGTCGGTAGCTGATTCACAGCCTTACCCTGGGCATATCTCACTTACTCGGCACATGGTCCAAGCTTACTTGCCAAAGACAGGTAAGCCTCAAGGCTGGTTTGAACCTGTTGGACAAGAAACAAAGGGACTCTCCGAAACTGCGGAAGCATGTTAGCTATGACCACTGGACCTTATAGATTTCCTAAAGTGATTCCTTGTTTCGCGGACATCCCCTGGGCAAGTATATAAGATCATAGATTGCAAAACCACCCCCCCCTGAACCCCCCCCTTCCAAAGTAAGGCCAAATTAAGAGGACACATAAAAGGAAGGCCTTATTAAGGACTTAGTAGGGACTTATTAAGCCCTTATTAAGGCCTTAATTTGGCCTCAAAATTAAGGAGGAATTAAGGCCAAATTAAGACCAAGTTAATTTTTGGAAATTCACCTTTGTGGACAAATTAAGGCCTAATTAATGTTTTTGTTTGTGCAACAATGACTCAAGCCAATTCAAGCCAACAATGCAAATTGTAAAGCAGACTCAAGGCAAGACTGAGCTCAAACGCGCCAGCCTTTCAAACGAGCTATATGAAAACGCGATGTCCTGATTTACGGGTGCGTGCCTACGGTGTATTGGGTTGGGAATCACGCCAAGCTACTGTAAAGCAAAATTAAGGCCAAATGAAGGCTAAATTAAGGCCAGATTAAGGCCAAATTAAGGCCAAATTAAGGCCAAACTAGCGCAAATGCCTATGGGATTTTGGTTTAAGCACAATTAAGGCCAAATTAAGGCCAGATTAAGGTCAAATTAAGGCCACATCAAGGCCAAATTAGCGCAAATGCCTATGAAATTTGGGCTCAAGCAAAATTAAGGCCAACCTAAGGCCAAATTAGGGTCAAATTAAGGCCAAATTAAGGCCAAATTAAGTCCAGATTGGCGCACATGCCTAATGCAGCAAACATATAGCACGAAATAAGGCAAGAGTAAGGCAAACGTAAAGCCCAATTCAAGGGAACACTGAAAGTGCGCCTAGGGAATTTGAAGAAACAGAAACTGAAAGCCAAACTGAAGCAACATGAAATCCAATCGGCGGGCGGGTTGGCTACCGAGTGCGGATGGCTTCAGGAAGTTGCTTCAAAAAATAGCCCCTAATAAGCCCTAATCAGCCCTTATTTATTTTGGGGGGGTGGTTCAGAGGGGGGCTGGTTTGTAAACTATGATAAGATGTACGTAGTCAAAGGTTAGAGCGGGGCCTGCCCTGATTCCCTTTGTCTTGCGAGTCCAAGGCGCTTCAAGTTTGGGTTCCTCCTTTACTGCTGTTACAGGAGGATCAGCCCAAAACTTCCTTTGGAGTCTGCAAGTCCACAGCGAAGGCAGCTAAACAGTCGGACACCCTGGCATACCACACATCGTTAGTGTACAGTTTGTTGTTGGCTTGCTTTACGTGGCCCATCAGACTAAGTTCTGACCCTGGCGGGAGCAGGTCCGTCTCGGCGTACAAATGGTCGAATCCTCAAACTACGCAACTTCGGACTTCAACGTGACGCTGAGGCATGCCTTACGCGCAGTTGCAGTCCGTGGATGAGGGCCGCTGCTGTTATTGCTGCCGCGGGGTAAATGTGGCTTGGATGCACCAAGATGAGTAGCGTTGGCCATTTTAGTAGGTGGTCCTGCCACTGGTTTCAAGGGGGTATTGTAAGGGCTACATACAAGTCAGCAGAGTTTGGGCGCTGCTGCGATGATTCCCCGCAACCCACAAGACAGCCTCACCCAGTTGGGGTCTAAGGGGGGTGGTGTGTCTTGTTCCGTGCAAACTTTTGGGAAACCACTCTGCCCGCTTGGGTGTTTCTTGTTTGGGCCCTCTTTTTACTAGGCATTGTTCACCTTAAGCACCAGGTGTTGATGTTCATTCCAGAAACGGGAGGTTGGGGGGTCTTGTTTTCAGGCTGCAGCCATAGAGGAAAACCGGTTTTGCGGAATTTGTTTGCTTGTTGCCCAAAGAATCTTGGGACCTGAACATTGCCGCAATTTGAGGCTCAAAACCTTGTGGATATCCCTATTCCCCTCCAATACAATGATGTTTAAGGTGTTGGGTGTTTATAAAACCGCATTGAGTGGTCATATAGCAAACTCCAATATTGCAGCGTTGGGGAATTGCAGACGCTAGTTAGCCAGCGATTGGAGTCAGATGTTTTCTACAGCCCAAATCCGGTCAAATCAGCCATTGTGGCTGCTTTCCATCCCAGAACCACACCCTGCGTTCTTCTTGGCACTTGAAATCTGGATTTACTATCCAATATCCAATTCCAAATTCAATAAAACAAAGTCCAATATGCAATGTGGGCATGGGTCAAAATTGAACCACCAACAAACCGCAGGTTTTAGTCCATGTTTCCATTTACCAGGGTTCTATATTGGGTACCTATGTCATGGACCTATGTTTGACCCACACCCACGTGATGATTCTTTTTTTAACGGACGCTGAGGGCATCATCCCGGGCTGCGGGTGCGCCGGGGACAAGGTCGCGGACCTCGCGCAGGAGCTGCAGCAGCGCGTCTCGGCCGGGGTTTGGGGTCCGTCAAACCGAGATCCGGGGGGGGTGTTTCCGTTTTTTCAGCCTTTTCTGACAGGGCTCCTCAAAAGATACATTTTGCCCATTTGAAACATGGCTTTTTCCAGCAACATAAAGGGATACCACCATTTACAAAGCAATGTTCAGGTGTATAGTGTAAGGATCCCTGTCTAATTGGTGGTTTGGATTGGTGGTTTGGGATTTGAACGGGTCCCTGGTGCTTGTAGGTACATGGGAAACCCCTCCTTAACCACCAATCCAAACCACCAAGTAGAGGTTAGCAAAATGAGCACAGTTTCTCTCGTTTTTGCCCGGGACTACTCGTGTTGTTTTGAGTGGACTAGATTCTGCGGGGGTGCCCAAAGCAATCAATGCACCGGCATTTCACCACGTCCTTTCTCTCTTTTTTTTAAAACAAATTGGGGGGGGGGGGGCAGCGGGGGGCCAAGCATGTGATGGCGGCTCGAGCTTCGAGCTAGGCAAGTTGGGGCGCGGTGACGTGGCCCAGCTGAAGAACCAGGAGAACACCATGCTCAACGCGGTTGAGCTGTCCGTGCGCACGAACACCGTCATGACGCCTGAAGAAAGGTGGTGGTTTCGGTGTCAGGGTTGGGGTTGCGAAATGGCCCCTCTTAAAGAGAAAAAACAATAGAGAGTTCTCAACATGTCATGTTGAAGCAAGGGTTGGCCCATCCTTGCCAGACCTTCAGCGGGTTGCTTCCCTTGTGTTTCTTCTTGAGGCGGAAGCCCCTAGCAGATCAGGCACCAACAAAGGCGCCTTTTCCTATAGAACCCCACTAATTGTCACCGTTGGTTTCTGGTTTGGTGATTTTGAGAGCCCTGAAATTGGAAAAGGGTCCTGAATTTGGTGGATTCTGGTTTGTTGTCAGAAATCAACATTGGCAAAGGAGTTGATTCGGAATACAGTGTTGCTGGACAAAAGGCCCCATTTCTGATGTCCGCCCATGGTCGCTCGGGAAGCCCTGAAATTGAAAATGCTGGAAGCTCTAAATAGTCATGTTTGGGAGCATCCATTGAACAAAGAGTTGGCCAATTTATAACAAGCTCACCCAGGGGGTATTGCGAGCTCACTCATGCGGAAAAGAGGATTTGTTAATTTCGGTTTGAGCAGAAGGGCCGCTCATGTACGGTTTTGGGTGGAATCCCACGGTTTTTGCCTAGGTTTGTTTGCTGGTTTTAGGCATTGTTCGGGTTTCATACTAGTAAAGTCCGGCAGACCCGGGAGTTGATCTTTTCAAACAATTCAAGAACTATAGTTTGAAGCACGCTTCGTCTCCTGTTTTTTTGTTCTCTCTCTCTCTCTCTATCTCTATCTTTAGTCTTTCTTTCTATATTTGTGTTTGTCTTTCTTTCTTTTTTCTTTCTGTACCTTTCTCTCTTTATCCTTCTCTTTCTGTTATCTTTCCCTTTCCCTCTCTCTCTCTTTCTCTCTCTTTCTCTCTCAGTTCTTTCAGTTATTTCTGTTCTTTCTGTTCTTTCTTTTGTTCTTTCTTTTTTTCTTTCTTTCTTTCTTTCTTCCTTCCTTCCTTCCTTCCTTCCTTCCTTCCTTCCTTTCTGTTCTTCCTTTCTTCTTTCTTCTTTCTTTCTTTATTTCTTTATTTCTTTATTTCATTATTTATTTCTTTCTTTCTTTCTTTCTTTCTTTCTTTCTCTCTCTCTCTCTCTCTGCCTGTCTCTCTCCCCAGCCCGCGAAAGTGAAAAACACAGGCGCTGTCCCAAAAAAACGTGTTTTCACTAAGGGGTGTAAGGGTAGGGAGAGAGGGCTGGGTACGGTCAGGGTACGCTCTTGGGTCTAGGCGTTTCGTCTGCGCAGGCTCACGCAAAAGTTTCTTGGTGAGCTGTTCATGTGCATTTCGACTGCGCAGGCTCGCACAAAGTGGGTGGACGGATGTGGTGTCTTCCAAGGGTGCGCTCTCCCTGTGGCGGCGTGCGAATAGGGGCACGCTTTGCGGACTTTGTTGGGCGTTGGAGTGCTCTCTCTGTGGCGTGGCGCAAATTTTAGCATCAGCACGCACCCTCTGCGGGATTTGGGTGGGTCGGATCGCTCTGGCTGCGCGCGGCGCGGAGTTTCATCACATAGCCTGAACCCTGTGCGCTCTGCGGAGTTTGGGCGGGTCGATCTCTTTCCTTGTGGCGCGGGGCGAATTGTGATCCTTGAAAAAGTGAACCTATGCGGACTATGGGCCCCGCTCGGATCGTTCGCGCTCTGGGGCGGCGCAAAGCACAAACCTCGAAGTACAGAACCTTCAAAGGTCCCTTTGGCAAGAGATCTTGTAGAGGGTGTCTCTTCAGACAATATCCTTTTGCGAGAGATCTTGTACAGGGTGTATCTACAGATCCTCGAAGACAGCTCTGTAGAGATCTGTCCATGGCTATTTTGCTTCGTAGAAAAGATCCTCTCAAGAGGTATTGCGGGTTCTGCGCGCAAATCCTGCCAAGAGACCCTACCAAGCAATCCTGCCCAGAGATCGCGCAAAAGTCAAAACATATCTTGCGCTGGTGCTTCATAGGGATCCTTCCAAGCAGTCTTGCGCAGGACCTGCCAAGGTTTCCTTGCGAGATGTCTTGAAGAGGAGGCTCCCCACAGATCTTGAACAGAACACTTGTAGAGGATGTCCTACCTTACCATAGATCTTGTGCACAGAATCTGCAAGTCCTCCCGCAGATATTTTGTGTTGGTCATTTATGTAGATTCTCTGAACAACTCTTGCGCTTGGCCTGCAAAGATTGGATGCCGAGAGATTTTGTAGAGGATGCTCTCTGCAGATCCCGAAGAGAGAGCTTAGAGAGGATTCTGGTTGAGAGCCTGCGCATGAAGCCCTATCAAGAGATCATGCAAAAGTCCTTCCGCAGAGGTCTCGTCTAGGACTTTCTACAGAAACTTTTCTTGCCTGGAAGCTCTTTCCAGACAAGATCTTCTATACGAGCTTTCAGATGCCTTCTGTTTGAAGAGCGCTATAGAGACCCTGAGCGTCTGCCGCTGCTGCTTCCTCACGATGTTTTCTAATTGTTTGTTACCGCTGTTTGGCGTCGCTTTTCCGGGAAACTTGGGGTCGACCCACGCAAAGTCCGCAGAGCTGAACAGGGCAAAACACGTTGCGGAAGCTCGACCCGCCAAAAGTGCGCAGAGGGTCACGTGAGCGAAGTGAGCATTGCTAACAAAGAAACACGAGGATTTTGAGGTCGATCCCCCGAAAGTCCCAGGGTCGACCTACCATTTGAACAGCGCGCGCGGTCGCGGCAATGTGCACCAAGATTTCATGCGTGGTCCACTGCGTTGTTTCTTTTGAAGTGGCTCGCCTGCCATGGGAGTTGCTTCCCGGGTCGGTGGTTCGTGTTATCAAGTTGTGCAACCACTGCACTGACAGTCGAAATTCGCTCACTCAGTCCCAGTGGATGCGAGTTGCCCATGCAACCAAACATGTTCCCTATATTTTTCAAAGAGGTCCTCTTGATTGTCTAATACACAAGTAAATGGGCGTGCAGGGGGCGCCAAACATGCCTGTGGTAGTTTCGAAGGAAACCAACGTTTAACTGACCGCTGGAGTCAGTTCTGCGGCCCTGCGCACGCTCGCAACATGCGCGCGAGCCCGAGGAAGAGAGAAGGCGTCCAGTTTCCGCCCAGCCAGGAGAGGCCGCATGCCGGAGCATGTGCTGCATTGGTTTCTCTTACTGGGTGCTAAATAACCGTTGATTTGTTGTTCCAAATGACAACCAAAACGCGGGTGGGTATGTTTGTTTGCGGCCTTTCTATCAACCAGTTCAAAAGAAGACGACCTGAAGCATTCTGTGGTGTGAAATGGAACATATTGCGACGCATTCCAGTCCACACTTTGCAGCTCGAATTGCAAAGGCCCAAAATGGTTGGTTCTGGTCAATCGTGCATTAAGGCTAATAACGAATTTGCCTCAGAGCAAGACGAGCTCACCTATGAAGGTCCTTTGTGCTGTGGGATCCCTTGCTTCCAGTTAGAATGGACAACTTACCGTCTTTCATTTCTAGACCTTTAGTACCAGGTTTTGATTGTGATTCGCATTGCCAAGAGGGCTTCAGTCGTTTCAGTTGGTGCAGACAGCTCAGCTAGTGTCCTTGGTGAACTCGGGGTGAGCAAAACAGCGAGGACTACTTGGCAGCTCATGTTGTGAATTGCTCCGCGCAATTCATAGCACTTGTAGTGTACTGTTCAACACAAGACCTTTAGATTGATAAACTTAGTTTAGTGATAACTAGTTTCAATCATTAGCAATTTTCAACTTGTGTGAGTAGTTGGCTGAAATAGTTTCATGGATGACGGCATTTAGACATCATATTTGATCCACGGCACAGCTTGGACGTGCAGGAGACTATGAAGGCGGACTATGGGCCTGCGTTCACTCTGCCGCATCTCGCCTTTGCTTTCATTTGAAGGCGAGTGCTCTCGCATGAACCTCCAAGCAAGGGCATGGGAGGGCTATCACCTATTCGTCCCTGAATAAGGCAACAAACGGAACAGTCGCACTGGAGACCGGGCTTTGATTTGAGAGGTATTCCATTTGTGTGGAAGCTCAGACTTCAGCTGCAAAGCGCTCAATCATGCAAATGGGTGTGTGCATGCGTTTTTGAGGCTCGGTACCCTTTTCATCTTGATTAAAAAGGGAAACCAAAGGACAACCACCCATTGTGACACACATGGTCCTACGGAGATGCGTCACTGCTGAGCTTGCGTTTATGAACCCCCCAAAGCTGCAGTCTGGTTGGTGTCACTTTGTCGAGGGGAATCGACAAGCTTCCAAAGCCTACCGTCTTGTTTGTGGAACATGCGGTTTTAGGGTCAGTTTCAACGGTACCCAGAAACACACTGCTACAAATAAAGTGGCTGTGGCGATGACCCTCTCTGGTATCACAGAAAGTGTTCTTTCCCACAGCCATGCCTGCTCTGGCGTGACCTTGATTGTGTAAAGGACACGCTCATTGCCTTGTTCTCCTTTGGCCAAGTTGAGGAGAGGGGGTTGTTCCGTTCTCAGAAGGGGCGGGGCAGAAAGATGCATCGTCGAAGATGGACACTGACTGGATGGAAGATCATTCCTTCACAAAAGGCCCTTCTGATGGGGGTCGATTGCGACCATGTTATGAGAACAGTCAATAACGCGCTTGGTATCAGCTCGAGTTGTGCTGCTAAAGTTGCACACTGTTTCCAAAAGGTCTGTGGTTTTGACACATTGTCGTTTGCGCTACAATGAACACCTCGGCAGATGCAGGTGGGTATGGGACAGTCGCAACCAGAAAGAGGCCACCCTCTTGATTTGTTACATGGCTTTGGGTGGAAGACCATAGTACATTGACTAAATCAAGGTGAAGCGCCCTGGCTTGGAACATGGCCCAGGGTCTTTTAGTGGTGGGATCCAGGAATATCCTTTCCACTTTAGGCTTCACGCAGGCGGGGAACATTTCTGACCCCTGGAATTCCATCACCAATATACCTGGACCCTCCGGCGGCAGCGCTTTCTGCCGAAAGGCCCCGGCGGCAGACATTTTCGCCTTGGAATTCCTTATTTCCGGTTTGCGCATTGCTCTCATTTGCCCAGGTGGGAATCCATTCGAGCCTTTGGTTTTTGCTAGTTAAGCCACCGTTGGTGGCTGGCATCTTTTCTCCGACCGGTTTTACAAAGAACATCCTCTCCCCAAAAGGGTCCGCCTTGTTTCGATATCCCTAAGGAGTTTTGACCATGTCCTGATCACTGGCCATTGCCGAGGACGTATGATGATGGCTTCCTCGGCGAGAGCGTGCACGCGGGTCCTTCGCAGAAGTGCCTGTCCGGAAAGCCGTTGGTTCAAATGTCTCGGGTACCAAAATCAACGCTCGAGATTAACTGCCCTTTTCTCGAGAGGTGCCCTTTTCCCCCTTTGCAGGTCCGCGAATGTTCAAACAACTGGGTGAGGTTTTAGTATCGTGGCATCCATGGAGTGAGTACCTTGCATCCCTAGGTCAACAAAGTTATATATATATGATATTTTTTTACATTTGTATTAATATAACTATACATATATATATATACAATTCATATATCTATTATTGAACTCGATCGGCTCAAAGGGTATTTGAGCTTTTTGATGCGTCCCAAAGGACCCGAAGAACTCTGATTTCAGCCGGCCATCTGCGCCCTTTTGATCGAGACAACCGATTTTGGGGCTAACACGAGCGAAGACCCATGACATGTTCGTAATTGGGGATTCCTTATCACCAAAGCTCTGCTGAAGTTGTTCTACGCTATTTTTAGCAATGTTGGGGTGTGTGGGTGGGCCGAGACCCCGGGCCAAATTGGCTCTGTGTGTGCAAATCACTATGCTAATATGAGATTTAGGAGTTTCCTTTTTCAGGAGTTTCCTTTTTCACAATGCGGTCCTTTTTGCCATGCAGTATTAGGATTGTAAGCTGCACCGCTGCTAGTTCTTGGTTTGAGCTTCTGCTTTTCATGTTCCACTCCTGCTTTTTGAATCTATGTTGGCACTTCTGGAAATCCTTGCTAGGTTGGTACCTCCTGAAGCAAACACAGAACACTGATAACGGACACACAGTGATATGGGAGACGGCAGCTCAAAGTTGATATTCGTTCGTGGGTCCAAGTTAGGAAGGTCTGGTGCTTTCGACACGTTCAATAATTTGGTGGTTTCTTGAGAATGGGTGGTTGATTTCCTTTCGGTTCCCGGTAAACTATCCGGAAAGGGTACAGCACCCCCGTTTGAGAGGTACAGCACCCCGTATTTTGAGAAACACCTGTTCGGTGAAGTCATGTTGGTTTCGCAAAACCGCGAGCCCCCGAGCTCAGAGCCATCCCATAGCCGAGGCATGGCGAGAAGGATTACGGCTGCTCGGGCTCAAAGTTCTCGAATGGAAAGACGAACGGCTTCCCTTTGGTTTCTCTTTGAAGGTTGACCCCGGTAAAAAGATGAGTGTGGTTGCCAATTTGTGGTTAGAGCGTGTTTGTTTATCCTGGATTCTCACTAACAAACCCCAGAAGGGTCAAAATGATCGGGGTTGGGCTGGTTTCCGTTTAACACAGTCGTAGCTTTGTCTAAACTTGGAATCTTCTTGGCGCTATGCCAGAAGGGGGATTCTGAAGCCAACTCGAACGGCTGTGAATTCAATAGGGAGCCACCTCACAAGTGGTTGGTGGGCATGAAGCCCCATCTAAATGACGCCTCCCCCGAAAGCGTCTATTCAATTCGGAACCGAATGAGCTTGTCAAATTCTGAATCCGGACGACTAGGGTCCGGATGAATCCGTTAGCAATACCTTTGCACGTAGAATTGAGCTTGGTTGATACAACAATATTTCAATCTAGGAAGCCCTCTCTACAAGTCAATATTTGTTCCAAGTGGTTTTTTGTTGTTGTTCATAGGCTTCCCACAGAGGTCAGACAAGTACAACATATGCTGTCTGTTTGTTGTGTTGGAAAGCTCACGTTGTCAATGTGCTTGGCCATTTGGCATGGACGCCGACAGTGGCTGAACAGTTCATGCCTCTCTTTTGTGCGTCCGCACACGTTGAGTCTGGGCAGAAGATAGTGACCGCTGCATCTAGGGGCCATTTCTTATTTCAGGTCGTTTCAGTTCGTACTGTGCTTTGTGCTTTCAGGAAAGACACGCTGTCTAACAAGCGAGGGCGGGCAGTGATTTGTGATCCAAACGGGAGCAAGGGATGAAAGCTGCTCAAGTGCTGGCTTCATGACGGTTACGTAGGAACCTCAGCTGGTAGAACCAAAAGTCAGGTTGGATTGTCGGAGACCATGGGGTTCAAGAAGAAATCTCGGGCCATGTGGCCAGTTCACCTTGTCGCTGGATCTCCCTGATCCAGAGGTCCCTATATTTCCATGTTCAGCCCTTTTCCGCATCAGTGCATCACCTTTGGCCCGTAACTCAGCTTCCTTTCAGAGGGTTCATGTTGGGTGGCTGTGTGGGGAGTTCTGAGCATCGGCCCAACCCCGGCTTCGCTTTTGGGAAGCCGAGCAGTGGCGGCAAGAGGTCTTTCACATTGAGCATGTCTCACGGAGGTGAAAATTAGCGACGGTTTTTGGCTCTCTCCAAGGGCCCAAGAAGGTGCCGACCATTTTGGAGCGTAGCCTCTCCATCAATCGTGGACGTGTACAGGATGGTTTCGGATCACTACCATGGCCACCAAACCTCCAGTTCCGTGATTCTTGGGAACAGGACAGCCCTTACTGTCGTTTTGAGTTTTCCCATTTATTGGCCCTTTGTTTGCCCATGCGGGTATGGATCAAAATTTCACCACCAGGGACCGCAGGTTTTGGTCCATGTTTCCACTTACCAGGGTTCCATTTGGGGTACCGATTTTTGACCCACAGCCATGTGGTTCATGTTTTGCCCAGCTTGGCTTCAGGTATCACCAACTACATGGAGTCCTGCTGTCTTTGCTTCTTCTCCTTGGGCTTGGCCGGGTGCAACACAACCCACCTGCACCTGGGCCCGGGCCTCGGGTTTGCCAAAGCCGAATCCGAGTCCCAGATGTGGGCCAAGAAAAGAGAATCCCCTTGACATTGCGGAAAGGAGGCCTGCGTTCTTGAAACCACCGAAACTTTGAGAATTCCAAAAAAAAACACAACCACACAACGTGTCAAGATTCTGATGTGTTTGTTGTGTTTGGAAACTGTTTTTGTGTTTTGTTTGCTAGTTTTTGAGAAAAAAGCGTGAAACACCTCGTTTTCCAAAAGAAATTTCAGACTCCGAACAAATGTGTTTGGGTTGTTGGACATCTCAATTTGTTTTTGCATTTGTTGAAACGCGTCAACCACTTGCTCGGGCTTTCCAAAGTAAACAACACAAAATCAGACCCCAATTAAGCCACCAAGCATACATGGGCTACATGGGGTCTGACCTCTGTTTTTTTGTTGGGAGGGGATGGATCTCAAGGTTTGCTTTGACGCATTTGTTGAAAACGTCTGACAACCCTCGAGTCTTCCAACAAAAGCAACAACAAACGTCAGGCCCTAGTTCACCAACATGGATACAAAGGGTCCGAAATGTTGTTTTTGTTGGGAAACACGTGTTTTGCAGCTGTTGGAAAGTGTGAAAAAGGGTTTGTTTGCATTGTTTGCAAAGACTGAATAAACGAGTTGTCCAAAACAGCACTAAATTTCAGACCCTAACTCAGCCAACACGGATTCGTAGGGTCTGATTTTGCCCCCGGAAAAGGACGTTTGCCAGACCATAGTTACATAGGTAGTTAGATAGATAGCGCGCTAGAGAGATAGAGAGATTGATATTTAAATAGATAGGAAGGTGGATAGATAGAGAGAGGATTGAACCTGAGATTCAGCGGATAAAACAACCGATAGAACTCAAGCCAAGGATA